ACAACCTTTGTTTTTGTATCACTACCAAAAAAAGCAGGAAAACAGCAACTTATTGTTGCTTCTGCACATTTCATAGCTGATAACCAGAAGGGTAGACACTTGCAAAAGTGTTTAACCGTCCATTTATAACTGGAGTTGCAAGCATTCTGTTTGGAAACAACCATCATCCATTTCTTTGTGGTAGTTTGCATGATCCTGTGTCAGATTTCTGACCTTAGCCAGAAGTGTAACAGGTTCAATAGCTGTTGCTCCAGTTTCTCTCTGGGCCATCTTATTGTTACAAATAACAACTTTGGAAGTGGCGCTGGCTTGATTCTAAGAGTTCCTTAGCTCATCCATAAACAGATGGCTAGTGGCAGCACAGGAAAACATGGCATTGGGAAAGGCAAGAGGCAAGAGTGCACTTGTTCAAGAGCTGCAGTCACAGCCACAGCTTCTCACAGGTGCCATCAAGGCAGCAGCAGTAGAGCAAGTCAGGAGGTGGACTTCTCCAGATTTGTTTCTAGGAAGACTGCCTAGAGCCTTGCTCAGTAGACATTTCCATGGGGAGGATGGTGATAGTCAGGACCATGTACTCTGGCTCTGAACTCTTTGTAGAAGGTATATGCAAATTGGTTCTGTACACAGTGTCAGCCTGTACACACAAAGGCTTTGTGAAGAAGTTCAGTTAAATTTGTAGAGGTCAGATCAGCAGACATGATTCACTAACAGATTTTCATTATCAATTGTCATATGAAAATGTGCTTGGGTCTGTATATAGGTACACACAGATGTGCACCTGTGCACACACACTCACACCCACCGCTGATCTGGTTAGATATGTGCTAGTTGTGATAAGCCACCCCAGAAATTCAAAGCCTGGAAACGCTCTGCTCCAAGGCTTCTCCTGTCTTGCTGAAATCCAGTTCCGTAAGTCATTTCCACCATCACCACCCCCTACTTTTCCTCCATCTGCCCTGGAGACAGCATCTGTGAATCTATCAGCAGCCTATTTTAGGCAACAAGAAAGGCCATGACAATATGGTCACCTGCTGCCTCTTATTTGGTAGTGACAGCAATGCCTACACAGGTGTCCATGCCTCCAAGGGACCCATTCCTGCAGATACTTTGGTGACCGGGGGGGGGGGGGGGCCGGGCGGTTAGCGGAATTGTCTTCCCACCTAATAAATGCACTCAGTTCATTGCCAAAGGATGTCTTTTGTCAATATGTACTGAGTCTCCTTTATGTGGAAGCTTTCCTAATGTATACTGTTTTCCTAGCTGCTTAAGAATTGCTAGACTGCAGTGTAAATATGCACTGAGAAGGGAGTTTTTAATGTGTATTCGTTTACACAACAGTCAATAATGGTCTTTCATGTCAATTTACATTTAGATGCTAGTAAAACTGGTATTTCTGACCTAATCAGCTGTAAAATCTGCTTCAAAGAGGCAAATAACATCCACTTTAGAAAGCAAATTTAACACCCGCATTTCCCAGATGGCTAAATACATATTTACACAATAGACTGTGAATGTTAATTAGGGGGGGCTTGGCCAGACCACCATTGCCAGATTTAATGCCTATTAATATTAATGGCAGTAGTGCATATTCACCTAGAGAACAGTGTTCTTAATTAGAACAGTGACAATTCCAGCCCAATGGAGTTCCCCGGCTGAATGCTGCTTTAGTTACATGGATGTAAATCTAGTTTAATATATTTAATAAATGGGAATAGAATGCAGCATTTGGAAGACTCATGTGCATATTTATTATTCATTGTTTACTCAATAATAAGTCTTTGAAGCTCTTTACATAATATAGTTAAAATACATTAAAATGCTAAAACATATACATTGCAGTTAAAGCAGCATGCTGGCCACCTCAAACCTGAGTTCAGAAATAGCAATAAATAAATAAAGAACTATATAGCACGTGAAACATTTGTCAGTACTTTAAATAATGCATCATTCTCATGTTTTAAAAAGTAGTCTTCACAAGTTCAAGTAGTAAACTTAACATGGGGAAAAACAGCACAGCAATTATAAAGAAACATTTCCCATTTGCAAGAGAGTGTTAAAAAAATCAGTTTTTTTAATTTCTGCATTATTTTTTAAAAAGCAAGGAAACCACATTGTTTCTTGCAGCTATGTATTCCATGGCATCTTCCCCAGCCCCATTTAAGTCAGAAACATCAGAAGAGAAAGATTTATAATGGAAACATCGATAGAACTCTAGCAGACAGTGCTCAAATACATGTAAACAAAATCTCTTTCTAAAAGGGATGTCTGAATTCCAATTGATTCTAATTATCTGCTAAGAGACACAGAAAATAAGGAAAGATTAAGGGAGGATGACAAACATCTCTATCCTGTAGTTTCAAAATTTCACAGCTTTTTCATGTAGCAGATGAATAAAAGAAAGAATTTTTTTAAAAATCATTTGTGTTGGCTGCTGATAAATTAAGAACACAGAAAGAAGTTAATATATTGAAAGGAAACAGAAAAAACCCGTAAAACAAGTTGCATGTTGACACCATTCTTTTGTGAGATTTAAATAAGACATATGCTATAAAACACAAGCATGTTGTAGAACATTTTTAGTTTGAGGTTTGAAGTTGTGTTATTCTTGGCGTGCCATTTAGGGAGAGGATGGGAAACTTAAATAATATTGAATTGAAATCCTACACTTTGGTTTCAAAGGATTGACAGCCTTTATTGATCATGCCCAGCAATCTTCTGGGCAACCCTAAACATGAAAATGTAGACAAGGGAAAGTATAAAATTCAAATTTGACCCCATGGGCCTAGAGACATTATCAAGAGAGGGAGAGACTAAGCTGAATTCACATTCAAAGGAAGCAGCTACTGGGTTCTTTTGGAGATGATGGCAGTCCGCTGGGGTCCTACAAATGAGAGAAATATAAAATAGCGAGGAATAAATGTTTATGGTGTTACTTTATATTTCCCTTGAAATGTGAATATTTATGCAAAATGCATTGCTGTAGGTTTTCTGAAAATGAAAATTAAATCATCACACATGTAAGGTGGAAAAATCTCAGGGGCCCACTTTAGCCAAAATACACTCTCTAACAACTTGCCACGCAGACTCAACTGTTAAACCTAGCACTAGAATTTGCAAGGGCTGATTTCTGTCATCTTCTCCCACCCCACATGTATTTTATTGTATCAATGTATAACTGGCAGCAAATACAGCTGATGATCTCCGTTTGTAGTAAAATGGTTTTGGGTCTTTGGGAATCACTGTGAACAAATGTAGCTTAAAGCAGTATTGCATTTATCCATTGAAATATGCCATAGGAGAAGTACAGCATCATTATGGAACTTCAGACAAAGACGTGTTAGCTATCGCACTGGTATGAGGTCTATGGCTTGCTGTTTCTGTTTCTGTTCAAACATTGCCGTGAGTTATATTGGAAAGAACAAGAATTATTCTGCCCGTTTTCTTCTTAAGTTGTAGAACAGGCGTTGTCAACATTTTGGGGCCAATGGGCACATTGAAACCACAGAATCTGTCAACCATGCTCACACAGACTCATTGCAACAAAACTGCCAGACATGCACTTATTGCAGCCACTGAAATACGCACTCACTCTGCAACTACACATACACTAACTCCCCCTCCCCCAGCAGTGGTGTGGATATTTTCATTTCCCCCAAAAAAACATAAGGGGCATAGGATGATCTTCCTGGAGAGTGCAGGTGCGAAAGGGGGAATTACCGTATTTTTCCATCTATAAGATGCCCCCTATTTTGGGGGACTCAGATTTAAGAAAATGGGGGGGAGATATAAAGTATAAGACGCCCCCTAATTTTTGACATTATTTTACCTAGTCTTATACACGGAAAAATATGGTAATCCAGCAGCAAGGCCACTCCACTTCCCTGTGGAGTGTTGCAGGCAGGTCACATGCTCTCACCGTGTACAGCGGGGGTGTGGCAGTACCATAGGGGAGTTCCAGCCGTGTCACGCCCCCAGCCAAACAATCTGGTTGGCCAGAGGGGCGTGGTTTACCGTATTTAAGCAGCCGCATGGCCGTGGGATCTCCCTCTTGTTCCTCCTTCCCCGGATCTGCTTAATGCTTCGGTTGCTAAAACCTGGTTCATGGGAGGGGAGGCCACAACCTGCCCATCCTCTTTAAGGGTATTCCGTTAAAGGCATCCGGGGGCCCTTGATGACCCAGGGGAGCTCTCAGTTGATGTACATCAACAGGGCTCCCCCTACTGGTGGTTGACCCTTACTGGACTACCTACATGGCAGGCAGGAGTGAGATATAGTCAGTTCAATTCCAGTGCCTAAGCCAATACCACTCACATTCTGTAACCAGAAAGCTGTGGCCTTCATTAGCCCATTAACCTAAAATACTGGTGTCCATGTGTTTTATTATTCAACAAATGGGGGAGGGCTCGGGGCCTTGACACACAATTCTCCTCCATGCACACTGCTACAGCAATTGGACTTGAAAAAGGGAAACATCAGTGGCAAACTTTGGGCTCTCAAATTTCAGCAGCACCCTATGCGACACTAAAATTTGTCTCTCTCGCTCCCTTCTACAGAGTTCTTGTGGCACCTCCTGCAGTGAGGTGCTCAGTGCCGCTACACCATCCTAAAACTACCTCTGGAACCATTATAATATTTTTCTCAAGTCTAATTACAGAGGGGAGGAGTGAAGGGGGGAATTCAACCAGGGGTGGAGTTCATCCTTCCTCGCTGAAATTTCTCCTTCTTTGATGCAATTAGTCTTGAAATAAGACCGTTGGCTCATGTTTATATCCTTCCCACAAAAGTTTTGTTTTTATCCTGACCTTTTCTATCTTTTTTCTTGTTTTCTTCTCTCCCCCCCCCCGAGAATGTCTTTGTCTTCCTCTTAAAATGCCTTGAGTAGCTTTGCTATTTTTAACATTCAAATACCCTTCCTCTTGTGAGTGGATTCCAGCATACCCCGTGATGTCCACTTTAGGGTAGTTGCGTGTGGTTCTGTTGTAGCCACACTTGTCAGAACCATGCAGGCAAGCAAAATATCACAAAGTATCTCCTGAACAAAGCCTCAAGCAGATAGCTGGCTGTGTCAGTGAATTTTCTAAATCTAAAGGACAGAATATCATAGGGAGTATGCAATCACCAGGGTCTTCTGAAGTTCAGAAAGAGCCCAGGAGATAATGTCATTGGTACAAAACGTTGTCAGAAGATAATGGTCTCCTGCTGCTAGATTAAAGCCTGGGAAGACTGAGCCCTCTTAGCAAAACTACACACAAGCAGAACCAAGCTACTGATGGTATTTTCAAAGTAGGAGGCATTTATCTTGTAACAACATCCTATTTCATCCACTCTGCTCTTTTGTTGTGGCAGAATAGAAAAGAACTGTGTCATTGTTCAGAATATGCCTTGCTGTTTTCTGATTGGTTCATCTTGCTTTCCAACTTTGCCATGATTCTTGGGCTGCTATCCTAAGCATGCTTAAATGGATGCTTAAACCCCAATTTAAATCAATAAGGCTGCATTCTTAAACACATGTACTAAGGAGTAAGCCTGACTGAACACAATAGGACTGACTTCTGAGTATACCTATATGGGATTGCACTGTTATCACTGTCTTCCAAGCATTTTAATACTCTACCTTTCTATTTGCAAACACAAATTTATTTCATGTGAGGAACTCAATTCCTCTGAATATGATAAAACAAAAGGCATCTCTAAAACATATATCCTCTGCTCAGCTGAATTTTATCATCAAGAATGTGTAAATACAAACAACCAAATACCACTGCTTGAAAGGGAATAGCACTGGTGGTACTTTAGTTATTTGCAGACTAAATAGCCAGGGCATAGTTGAGTTTGGCAAGGGGTGTTTTTTATATCGAATATCTCCACCTTACACCAAATATTTCAGCTCAGTGCTGATCTGTGCTTTAATAAATCAGCCATGCTCAAGAGTAGATTATTGTTATGCTTTATATATCAGTTTAACTTTCAGGAGCATTCAGTACTAAATCTACGGTATGCTGCGTTGAAACACTGGATCACTGATGAGCTCTCTTCCAGTGTCACCAGTCTGTAAAAATAAAAGGTTGTAGCCTTTTAAATTTTGCACAAAAAGGAATACCCCATGACTCTCCTCAATGGAACCACCACACCTATTTATGTATTTCATAAGATTTATACTCTGCTTGTGTTCCTTTCTTTTTTTAAAAAAATAAAACAGTAAAAATCCATAAAAACAACTCTGTAAATCATACAAAACAATTTATAGGATCAGAAATTGACTTCAGTCTTTTTTTAAAAAAATCAAACCAGAGCAATAATTAACAGCACAACCCTATGCATATTAGCTTGAGGTAAGCCACACTGAACGTTGTGGAACTTATTTCTGAGTAAACATAGGATTCAGTTGTAATAATCTAAGCCTGAAATCCTATGCATACTTGCCTAGGAATAAGTTTCATTTAACTCCTTAGGACTACTTCTGAATGGATATGCATAGGATTGTGTTGTTAGACTCAATTTGGATTATCTTCAAAGTAAGGCAGTATTTTTTATGACCACAAACTTTGAAGATATGGATACTGGAAAGTACAGTGTTTCTGCTCATGAAGGAGTCCTAATGCTGTTATGTTAGGCTCAGACCAAGTCTTCCTCTACTTTTGTTCTAATCATCATCCTGACTTATTCATTGCCCCCAATCTTCAGTTTTTGTTGTGTTTGTTAGGTCAAGACGATTGGCTAGCATGTGTTTTGTTTTGGTTTTTGCCTAATAGTATAAGCTGTTAGTGGCTTTTATTAATTTTTTGCCACATATGTTAATCATGCATATGCTCAGCATGAACCTGTTGTGAGGGAAGATTAAGAGGAGGGGTGTTGAATGGAATGAGTGACAGGCATATCTGGGTCGTTTAAGAAATTATACTTTGTGGATGTGACTGTGAGAAAGCCAGAAAAGGACTGGAGAAAAGGAGGAGAGAGATATGTAACAGTGTATTTTGTTTCAATTTATTTATTTTATTTTATTTTAGGTTTTGTTGTTAAGGGTAAATGCATTCCATCAGTATAATGAAAAATCAGGGGGCAGTAGGTTCTACAATTTTTTTTTAGTTTAAAAAATGTCTCAACAAATAGATTTGAAACTTGCCAGTACAAGAAATTAAGATTTGAGGACTCTCCGTGACAAATTTGGGGTAGAAAAGATAAGAAATTACTTACTCTGAATGAGTTAAAGGATATTATGTGTTTTTCTTCTACAGAATTTGCCGGGGTTGTACTCCATAAAGATTTCTTCCTGTGCACTGTGTGCTTTGGAAAATGGGCTGCTGATTTAGGTCAAAAGGAATGTCTAGTATTTGCTTTCACCTATGAGTTCTGTAATATTAATTGTTATTAAAAATGCTTTTTCCTGGCCAATGTTAGTCAATGGACCTGTTATTCCATTGTTGCTAAGCAGCAGTTTTTGGCCAGTCTTAGCCTCTGAAGTACAAGATTCTCATAGAATAGGCCTCACTCTTGAAGAGCTTACAGGTCAGGTCAGTCAAGAGGTGAGATGTTAGGTGTGAAAGGACAGCGAGAAGAAATCACAAGAGATGAGTAAAAATAGTTTGCGAGGCATGGAGGAAGGGGAAATGTCTTTAAGGTGCACAGTGGCTGGATTTCTAACAGGCAGCTTAAAGGCCCTGAGGAGTCTTCACAAAAAATGGGAAAGATTTAGGTGGTAACGCTGTGCTGTATCTGCTGAATTTTTGTTCTCCATTCCAACTTTTAAAGACCAGCCATACCAGTGCTGGCCACCACCCACCCACCCTGCAAATTCAGGCCTTCTCCTGCACCTTCAATAACTATAGAATGTGCAGAAATTGGCTAGAGTGGTTGTAGGTCACGGACACCAACATTGTACTAATTGCACTTGTAACACAAAGGTAGTGGTGAAGATGGAACTAACTACAGAACTATAGAATACCATACCATATCAATCTTGCCTAAATTACATACCTGCAGCTTAGCAGTTGTAATTTCCTGACATTTTGGAGCTTATGTAAAGATGGAAAGCCCAACATACTAAAGCAAAATATTTATTGAACAAACACTGAAAACTGGAATTCTGCCATACCATGAAGAGGGAGAAGGAATCCCAGTGAAGTACAGTGATACCCTATTGGCCGGGCACATGGGTGCTCTTTGGGAAATAAGCTCTTTAGGAAACAACTGCCACCTCAAAGGTCCTAACTATTTGGCAATGTGTGATTTCTCTCTCTCTCTTCCTCCACCCCCCCTCCACAATTGTTTTACCTCAAATGAAAGGCCCTTGTTTTGTTTTTGTTTCAATTACAGTGCAAGTTGGAGTTTCATGCGTGCACATCTGGCAAAAACATTGCAGCTCGCTGTGAAGGGCCTTGCCCATGCCTTCCAGGACAGGAAAGTCTAAAGCACAAGGCCGAGAAAACTGGTGAGTTGATCTGTTGACTTTGATATAAAATGTCATTCTAATTACTTTTGCTGTTGGTATGCTGTCCAGTCCAATCCATATTTACTCCGAAGAGAGATCCACTAAGTTCAGTGAGACTTACCGTACTTTCAAGCATATGGCTGTTCTATGTGGTGGCAATAGAATTGCAAGTCCTGGGGCTCTTTTGTTATGACTTGTGAAGAACGTGGAAAAGGCCTCTAGCCCAAACATTCTGGAATCCTAGATGAGTGATTTTCAAATACTGAATGGGTCACTGGAGCCTTGCAGTTGAATTGATATGCTACTGCAAGTTCATGTGAAGGGTAGTACATCAGAAGAAGGTGGCAGGAATGTGTGTAACAGCTTTGTCAGTGTGGGAACCAAGGGCTGGGCTGCGGAGAGAAAAAATGCAACTTCCTATTGGTAGAACCCTCTGCAGAAATTTTCTGACTTTTTTAGACCATTTGTCTTTGACTGGTGTTTTGGGACACGCTATACAGCGAAATCCTATACATGTCTAGAAGAAAGTCCTGTTAAGTTAAATGTGGAGCTTACTCTCACGTAAGTTCTGTAGTATAAGATTGCAGTCTGAAAGTGGGTTGCAGCACTATCACCATGCAAATAAATGTTTGAAAATTAGGAAGTGGGTCACCAAATGCATGTTTCAGCTAAAGGCAGCCCCTGAGTCTACTAAGAGTTAGGACTACTGTTCTGCATGAGTTCTAAGAACATTTCTTGTTTCTCAAACATTCAGTGTGTCTCAAACTTTGCGAAACGCCATCAACAGGTGTGTTAAAAAATACTAACTGGGCAATCAGCAGAGTGGCTAGCCCAGTGACCATTGCAGCATTCCCAGCTAATGGAATAGAAGAAAACAGAGTATCCATGTCTATCCTAAGCCTTCACTTATTGCCACCTCCACCAATGGCCTCTGGTTTTCCTCTCTCACATCACTAATGAGCCCAATGAGGACACATGCCAGCCCTGTTTAGGTTTCCGAATCATTAACACGATGAGGGTTTGTGAGGATGAGCACACTGGCGAATAACCCATCATTGCCCCTTTGCCCTACATTAGTTCAAAGAATAACTTCTGGGTAGGGAGATTTTTCTACTCATGTAGGTTCCTTGTGTGATTCAGAACCCTGATTTTCCAAGATTCTAAATTGCGCACTGAAAATTGTAGAAAAAACAACCTATATGTAAAAGGATATCTTTATTGTATTGTTATTTTTTATTGTTTTTTAGACCCAAGGAAGATGATATTATGCTGCAGCTATTGTTCTAAATAACAGCATTTAATTTGGCTGCTCCTCTTAAAGATTGCATCATTATTTCTCCTGTTCACCACATTTTATCAAATTTTGAGAAAGCATTTTCCATGGTATGGTCACCCAATATTACACATGTGTTTAGTAATCCCTGATGTGGCTGGGATGGTTTTGGAAAAAAACCTCACTGATAAATTGCCACATTTTTATTTTCTTTTTTTCTTCTCTTAAACAAATACACATGCACACCCATTGCCTCACATTATCTGCTCTCTCTATGCCCTTTCACATGCCCTTATCAGAGGCTGTATCATATTAATAAATCTCCAGTGACATTTTAAGCTCACAATTTCATTCACATAACAGAATAATTTCTAATAACCATTAGGTTGATAAATGCAATTTGACAGGATGTACGTATTCAGCAGGGCAAGCTTTTGTTTTGCTTGAATCTCTGATTAGTTAATTCTGCTGTGCAGAGCACATTGTGATGTGTTCACTCTCTTTCTGGAAACACAACTTCTCAAGTGATTGAGACAATAATTATTTTGGAGTTGGTTCTCTTAATGACCATCCTGTATGTTACTCTTACAATTAGTGCATGTGTGTAACTGATCTACCCATTTTTCCAATCACTGTACTGCTCTCTTATGTGGCCTGTGGCCAATGCAGGTGTCAAAATCCACACCCATGACGTTTTGGGCTTTAACTGATTGTCCCAAGGACTCAAAAGTGGCATGGGCTGCAAGGCCAGCTCCTGTAGTAAACTGCAGTGGTAGAAATGAGGGCCTTCTTTCCACCCCCACTACAACCAATGTGTTCTGTGGATTCACCGATGCCTGTAAATAAAGTTATGGCCTAGTGATATTCCAAGACTGGGGCCTGCCTCTTTCTTGCCAATCACAATACAAAGGTGTTGCTTATCTCAGCCATCTCACAAAGGTGTCAGGTTTTCTTCTTCTGGCAACCAAGGTAGGCAGCAGTGACCAGAAGCAGATTGGCTAGTGGGACGGAGCTATAGCAATAGCCTCCCAGCAGCACTGTTGTGGCTGCCTACCAGAATGGAGATGGTGAAACAGAGAGTGGCACCAATCCAACACTCCTACCACTATGCTCACACAGCCCCAACCTCAGTTCTGCCTCGCTCTCCCTTCTTCCAGTAAGCAACAGCAGTGCCACTGCTATGAGGCTTTTTCTCCTGCTACACCCACCTCTCGCAATGGAGGTGCCCACACAGATCAATATTGCTGCCTCTGTTGGCTGGGGAAAGCAGATGGCTGCTTCTTTTGAATAACTAAGAACTGTGGACGGAAGAACTGTAACGAGCATCCTTTTCTTTGAGAAGGGCCAGAGCTCAGTGATGGAGTATCTGCTTTGCATGCAGAATGTCCCACATTAAAGCTATGGCATCCATAGATAAAGCTGAGAAACACAACTGCCTGAAACACTGTAGAACCACTGCCAGTCAATCCAGACAATATTGAGCTAGATGGACCAATGGTCTGCTCATGGAGGATATATTTCTCTGGCCAAAACTGCTGGGATCAAAAAAAAACTTGATGTGGCTTATTGCTGGTGGTTGTGCAATTCCTGCATCTCTAACATTGCCTTTGAGACCTAGCCTCTGCCCACTCGCAGTATCTCCCTGATCACACCCACCCACCCACTTATGCACAGAATATTTTATAATGTCTCTCCCTATAAAGCTAGCAATTTGGTGTCCTGCCTGCAGTTCTGTTATGTAATTAGCATGGTCCAGTTTGTGCTGAGATAATGTAAATAGAAAGTCTCTCAGAGATTAATTTATTTTCTCAATAAGAGTGTCAGGTACAAAATTCCTTTAACTGAAATTTGCTGACAGGTGATGCAGTATTTCCATCACTTATGAGAAGCTGAATTTGTGAAATCTATTCAGACATGACCATATTGCTAAGCAGAAATAAAAGAAGGCAGTGCTGAAACCGGTGCTTCAATAGAGGGATGTTAGTGGGAAACTACTGAACAGAATTACAGTGTCAGAGTTCTGAGCAAAATGGAAGCATGCCTCACCAAACTGCTGCATAAGCTTTCTTAATCCATTTATATGAGTTAAATATATGTAATTTTAAACTTCTAATTTCCAGGCTTCCACCTTGTTCCGCATATGTGCACTTAGTTGAGCACAATTATGATTCTAAGTTAAAGGTATAAAGAAACATTTAATCTCCAGGGTGCTATTAGATTAGTCTTAAAAAAACAAAACCAAAAAAATGCCATGTGAATGAAAAACAGAGAGAGCAGTATCGGTGTGGCTTACCTGAGGGGGGATCTCAGATGATATTATTGGAAAATGTTTGCAATTTAAGCAACCACCATCTTACAGATCTTTCCCTTCTACTCAAAATTCTGTTGTGCAATTTTATCCCACCCATGTTGCTTCTTAATTCATGTGTTTTTCTAGTGGCAAGAGATCCCACTATAGGAAAGCAGCTAACACAACTCCCAACAAGGTGAATGGGGCTTGACAGGTGTGCTTTGAAATAAAACATTGCTTTTAGTAACTTAGAGCATCTCCATGGAGCCTCAGATAAGAGAATCAGAGCTTCAAACTTAGGGGTGCAAAACAGCCTGATGGCCACCTTCCAATGGCCGCAGGCCAGCGGGGCAGCAACAAAGGCAAAAGTGGGCATAGGAAGGAATGTGAATCTTACAGTAGGCTAGTTTCTATCCACACTCACATACCCTTCTCTGTCCTCCAATCAGGCAAGCACATTCCACTTTCACCTTGATGGGAAGTCAGTGGCTCTGGTGGGAAGTGGCAGCTGGATTTGGCATCCTTATTTAGAATCTGAACGGATCCACCATCGCAGCTTGTGGTATGGCACCTTGGCCATACCAAGTCTGGTGCTGCAGAGCTGGCAAGGACACCATGAACCTGACATGGAACACCTGCGGTCCACAAATGCTTCCTGTTGCATGCCAAGGGGTGACAGGAATGGAGAAACAGGACCCTGGACAGTACCATTGCAGGCCCTTACTGCTAACATTTGATGTGTGGTGCAGGAAATTTGGTGTAGCTCATTCATTTAGTCTGCAGCTTTCCTGGGAGTAAGGAAACCAGTATGCCCTGCATGAGACAAGATTATATAGCACTGGCCTGATTTAGCTGCAGAGACCCATACTATGAATGATTTGATTGGAGCTAAATTTGTAAAAATTATGCTGCACATCTTTCATGGGTCTCTTTCAGGATCTATTTTGCAACCCCCATTGAGTTGACTGGAAGTGTATTAGCTGCAGTGCCTGATTGATTACAGTTCTGGTCTGAAGAAGGGTAAACTGGACTAAGAATTTCTTTAATAATAGCTCCCTGTTAACATCAGCACCCAGTATCACTAAGGCGTTCACATCATCATAATCATTTCATTTGAATTATAAGATGGTAAGAAGGAAAATTAAAGGACGATTTGTCACTGTAATGATATATGCTCTCTGCATTGTCTGGTATTCTGCAGTAAAATCTTTGAAGAGACAAGCAAATTGTATTCTTTGGTCCCTGTGTTTTGAAAATTGGATTTTGCTCAGTTCTCCAAGAAGCAAAACCCTCATAGTGATGCTGTATTACAAATGGCATATTTTTAAAGTGAAAGCAAATGTTTAATCCACATTCTCTGCCTGCCTGCCTGCCTGCCTGCCTGCTTGTGGCACACAAACTTTGAAGTTCATCAAAACATGGGGTCTGTGCTTCATTATTAACAACAGCACCGGGCCTTACAGTCTGTTTTGGTGACCATTTCCAACTCAGCTGTTGAAAGATAAAGTTTTATTTGTAATCAGCTCTTGTTAGCTGCCCTTTCAGACAGTATGCCCCTGCTTCCTGCAACAAATTCAGTACAGGAAATATTTCAGCAAGGCAAGGGAATGAATACTGAAGTTTAAAACAAGAGTCTGTGGTCATTTAATAGTGTTGAGAGGTTCTAGTCCAAGCCTATGTGCTAAGAGAGAGTTAATCACAGAGCAGTACTTGCCTCCCTATCTACCCACAAATCAGCACCACAGTGTGTTGCAGAGAGAGAAAATGGAATGGGGCAGGGTATCTCATGAATGACAGTAAATATTATGGAGCTGGTCCAAAGTTCCTTGGTTGCTCTGATTTGGTATTCATTCATTTATTAAACTTTTTTAATTGCCCTTCAACCAAATAGATCCCAGGGCAATTAGCAAGATGATAATCAGACACCAACTGGGGAAAAAAAGTTAAACAAATTATTGAAACAACACTGCAAGATATAGCAGCAAACATAAAATGCAGCTTAAAATGCACAACCTTCACAATACTGGACAATTCTAACCAGTTTTCCTCAAAAGCCAGATGAACAGATGTGTCTTGATGCATTGTCAGAAGCCCAAGAAGAAGGAATTCCACAGCCAGAGTGCCACTACAGAGAAGGCCCTGTTCTGTGCAACCACATAAGGGACAATCCCTGCTGGTGAGAAGAGAAATGCCCCTTCTGCTGATCTCAGATCCAGATAGGGGAAGGTGTTGCATCAGATCCCAAACTAATGTGAACTTCTTAAATTAATCCCAGTAGCATTTAGCCAGCCAATGCAGATATATCAAAATAAATTTAACATGATTCCACACAGATGTGCTAGTCAGCATCCTTACAGAAGAATTATGCACTACCTGAAGTTTTCGGAATGTCCTCAACCCCACATAGAGCACGTTGCAGTAATCTGGATATTAGAGTGTTGAGTAAAGACTCCTCAGACTTTCCAGACCCAGGGCCCACCTTATCACATTTGTGTCTCTAAGTTTTCTGCCATTATGGAAAAATGAGAGTTCTAGAGAGTTCTTCATGTGCCACTGGAGGGAAGCAGATGAGCAGCACTGACTAAGTCTCTTACTGGCAGTGTTGCAGCTTCTGTTGAACTACTGTAATAGCAATTAAGCAACAGAATAACTTAATTTGCCATTGGTATGTTTGTTTTGTAAGGCTATAAAATTGGCACAATTGTAATTGGCACAAGTACAAAGCTACAGTTGTAGTTTTGCTGTTTTCATTTTCTTTTGTTTCTCACAACCTTTTATCAGAAGGGGACCGAATGTGTATTACAATAAATTTCACAAGCATCTATTGTTATCACAACTTCAGTTTGAGGCACTAGGCAAAACTTTTTTTTTTTTAAAGCTCTCTCAAGCTCTTAAATAAGTGACATTTCAATTCCATAAAGTTAGCGTATAATACAAGAAGGGGCAATACTGTAAATTAAGTGATGACCCTTAAAGAAGAAACAGCTGGCAATCCCAAAGGAATATACCTTGGCAAGTGCTGAATTTTAAAATGGCAATCGGTGTACTCGGCAATCTGTTTTTATGCCCTTCTGTAACCTCTGTCACCAGACTAACCTATAACAGTACTTCCTATGTCTTTCTAACTTTGTGTTCTTTAGCTTGTCTAGCTGGTAATATACTATACTTTTTTAAAATACCAGTTTCTGTGTGTATTTCATTTGTCCATGGATATATGCAATAATTCAGCAACAGCAGTCTTTACGACATAACATTTATGTGACTACAGCAACAGCAGTAAGTGGCAATGGGGCAGTTTCCTCCATTGCACCTGAGGGCACCAGTTATGGGGGTGCAGGACAGGCCATGTGATACACACAGCTCTGTCCTCTGACAAAAGAGTACATCCAGGGGGTTCAGGAACAACATTCAGAGGGCAGTGCTTGCCACCTAGCATCTACTGTCTGAGATGGTTCCTTACTCTGCCTAAAGGTAGGCCCAGTCCAGCCCCTTCCTGCTTTAATTCATATCAGGAAAATGGGGGAAAAGAAGCATTTGGGCCATACAGGTATATGGCATACCGATCTTCCAACTTCCTGTCTGAAAGTCCAGTCACTGTAGAAGAATGCAGATACAGCTTATATTGATGACTTCCCCTCTAAATGTTACACACTAAAGTGCACATCCTGTTCACGGTGGAGTGACTGTCCTATTGTTTGTGCTCAACTACCTGTCTTCTCCTCTATTGAGTTGCAAGTCAGCTACATTTTATGAGCTAATCAATGACAGTTAACTCATTTCCATTCAATTTCAATGGACTTTCTTTAATCAGCATTATTTACCTAACATCCATCAGAATATAGTAAGTGGTTGTGCTGTATTTCAGAACCAAGAGAGAAAAAATTTCCCAGACATGAAATCGAAATGTCATGAGCCTGAATACTGCAGGATGACATAAACCTTTAGGACTTCTGCTCAGAAAACTTTGACACCCCTAGAACAACGGCTTTATCTTTCTTTTTTTAAGAAGGAATTATAGAAAGGAGGAAGAGGAGCCTCCAAGAATCTATGCATTCAAGTAACCTACACCAACTCAAGCTAAATTATTGGACTAAATCCCCTTTCAATACCATTATTGTAGTGAAGAACTGTAAAGCAAATTTCTGAACAGCCAGTGCTTGGACCACTGTTTTAAATCAAAGGAGCTTTAATAATCAGTATGTTTTGAACATATGACTCAGTAACATGAGTGTTATGGCAGCCACCTGTCTTTCATCTCGAAATGCCACAAAACCTCTTAACTGAAGGTCCCCACCCAACTTTCCTCATGAGTTTGGGAGATTTTGCCCTAAAGCCTCCCTAAAAGCTCCTATTAATAATGTATTTGAGTCATATCTTCAAAGGACACCCTACAGATTTAAACAGCGGCCCTTCTATTATACTGCTTTGGCATATGTGGGCTGTTCATGGCTTTCCAACTTTCTCTTTGCCTCACTTTTTTGGCTCATATTTGAACATAATTGTTAGAGACTATGCAGAGGCATAAGAAAGAAGCTCAAGGTTTTGGAAATTCTTATAGCTTCAGTGGGGTACATTTTATAAAAAATGGTTCCCAATTCCAGCACATTATTAATGCTCTTCATGCAGCTGTAACTTTGTCTATGCCTGATGCGGCACTCACCGATATTATACCAAATTGTTGGCAGATCATAATGTTAATTTGAAAACAAATGCTTTAAATGCTCTTTCTCTAAGTATGTGCCATTGTAGGTGTTTTACTCTGGAACGCTGGCTGCCTAATAAGCTTTATTGCGTTTCGAAGCATAAACCTGGAATTGATTCTGCTCTTTGTAATGCTGTTTTCCCCAGAGGGGATATTAATACTTTACAAAAAGAAAATAAATTAAAATAGGTTTGTTTACTTTCAACAGCCCATCAAAGGAGCTGTTTCACTTGGTATGAACGAGATTGTCTTTTACACGAAGATGAAATAGAGAGCCAAAGTGTACTTTTCAGGGGCTATTTTGCATATTGAACTGTCTCAAAAGGTATTCACAGTAAGTTATAAAACACTTATGTAAGACTAGACTAGGGGTGGACAAACCTGTCAGTCTGGGTTTTTCTCCATTCTCTCTCTCTCTCCCCCTCTCCCCAGTACAGTGGTGCCCCGCAAGACGAATGCTTCGCAAGACGGAAAACCCGCTAGACGAAAGGGTTTTCCGTTTTTGAGTTGCTTCGCAGGACAAATTTCCCTATGGGCTTGCTTCGCAAGACGAAAATGTCTTGCGAGTCTTGAGATTTTTTTTCGCTTCCCCTTTATCTAAGCCGCTAAGCCTTTAATAGCCTTTTAGCAGCTAATCTGCTAAGCCGATAAGCCTTTAATAGCCGCTAAACCGCTAATAGCGCTAATCCGCTAAGCCACTAATAGGGTTGCTTCACAAGACGAAAAAACCACTAGACGAAGACACTCGCGGAACGGATTAATTTCGTCTTGCAAGGCACCACTGTATTTGGGGTAAAAGCCTGTGTACTGCAATTTTGCCTGGTGTATATGTATTTTGTGGGCACTTTTCATTAATACAGTGGTACCTCGGGTTACAGACGCTTCAGGTTACAGACTCCGCTAACCCAGAAATAGTACCTCGGGTTAAGAACTTTGCTGCAGGATGAGAACAGAAATCGTGTGGCCGTGGCGTGGCGGCAGCAGGAGTCCCCATTAGCTAAAGTGGTACCTCAGGTTAAGAACAGTTTCAGGTTAAGAACGGACCTCCAGAACGAATTAAGTTCTTAACCCGAGGTACCACTCTATACATTTTCAGTATGCATTGTTTGGGTGGGGGACTAGAAAACCTGAAATTCAGAGCAATGTGAATTCAGGAACCAATATAATAATAATAATAATAATAATAATAATAATAATAATAATAATAAATGCTCTAGGGGTTCTCCAGACCCCTCTGAACCAATTTCAGGGGGAGTAGATAAATAGGTACTGCTCCGGCGGGAAGGTAAACGGCGTTTCCGCGTGCTGCTCTGGTTCGCCAGAAGCGGCTTAGTCCTGCTGGCCACATGACCCGGAAGCTGTATGCCGGCTCCCTCAGCCAATAAAGCAAGATGAACACCGCAACCCCAGAGTCGCTCACGACTGGACCTAATGGTCAGGGGTCCCTTTACCTTTAAGGCCACTCAGGGGGAGGAGAGGGGAGAAGTCTTGCTGCACTGGTGGAAATCTGTAAGCAGGTTTTAGATAGCAGGACTAGTTCGTTGATTCCTGCCCATAATATTTAGATTGGGCTCAGAGTATTATTGAAGATTAATTTCAGAGTTGCATAAAATGTTTGGAATGTGGCAAATCTGCTCTAGGAAATACATTATCACACTATAGGTACACACTGCTCAAAGAGCATTGACTGACTCTGACTCCATGTTGACTGTACACTCAGTGGCAAATCTGGGTTCTCCTTTGCTTCTGTGAAAAATGGTCCCTACCATACCTCCCAGAATTGCTTCACAATTGCTTTCTTCAAGGGTACATTGTAGAAGGTTTTACAAGCAAAAAGTGGGAATGCAAAAACGTAGTGTGTATTAAGTTATGTGTTCCTAGAGATACACTTGCAAAGAGACAGGGTTGATTGTGTCTCCCTTCCAAAGGAACACTAGGCATTTACTTGACTTATTGGTAAAAGATTGGAGATTGTGTGTTCAAATCCTTCAGATGATCCAGTTTCCTGTAGGCTCCCCTGAACTGTGATTCTGAAAAGGAAAAGGAAAAACACTGCTGGGTTAAACTGCAGGTGACAGTCTTCTCAATGACTCTGCTGATCAATGGAAGTAGTAGCAAGGAGTATTAAGCCTTTTTCTGTTTCAGTTGAGCCTTATTTGAGGAACAAGGTCTTCCTGATCCTTGGTTATTCTTAAGTGATGACTCCTCTTTGATTCTGTCTCCTGATTTTTCCTACGGTTCTGATATGTCTCCTGATTTGTCTGCTGGCTCTGACTTGCTCTTCAGTTCTAACTCTTGGCTGGGCCCATGGCTCTTGGCAGACTGTATATGAAAGACAGTATATATCACATACCTGAGAACAGTGATGTTGCTGCTAGGATGTTATCAAATATTTTGGAAGAATGTGCATGTGTCCTGATAAACAACAACACAGAGGTTATATATAAGGACAGCTGAGATTCCCAGTTGTCACAGGTCCTGGAATGTCCTTGGGAAGGTGTCATGGCCTTATGCCCTAGCCAGCAATTATTGTAATCGAACCAATATGATGGTAGAGACCTGAGCAGAAAGACTATTTAGAACAGATTTTATTAAAGCAAAGCATAACACTGTGATATGATAAATTTTAAAATCGTAAGTTTTGTAACTTTAAAAATAATTTATGCTGCATATACACTTTTTATGGCTCAGCATCTGTTCACATTACAACTGCTTCAACTCACAAAATTGGAGAGAACAAATTCTGTACCGCTTAGGAGTTGACTGATCAGTGAGTTACTCCTATGGTCTCTCATAATGATGATATTTTGATGCCAGCTCATCTCAACACTGGAAGATTTGAATATTAAAATAGTAGAATGCCAGTTTGGGGGCACGATTCAACTACATGAAGATGGAAGCAATTTTGATCCTCCAGCAAACAAAATGCCTTGTTAGGCCTCAGGATTTGACCTCCCCCCAAGAAATTTCTCAAATAATGAGATTGTAATTTACTTAAGCAAAGTTGATAATCATGAAATTTCTCAAAGGCATAACAAAGACAAGATTATCAATTGACTCTTCTTATCTCTTTGCCATTCATAGTTTTGTTAACAGTACACATACTGAGTAAGAAACATCATGGCAGCTGGCATGGAGAAGGACTATAAATTATGTCAGCCCACAGTACCACACGAAACAAATGAAGACAAGTGAAACTAAATGATTCCAAGGGTCCATACAAACCTTTACATTTGTCAATAAGTCTGAAGTTGTTATTTCAAGTAGTTTTAGATTTAGATTAGTTATGGTCAGAACAAGATGTCCAAACCATGCTGTTTTCTAGGAGAGGATCACTAACAAAACAATCCTATCGTCAGGAGCCAATCTGACATAGACTCTGAGACCATCTCATCCAAGGAAGAAGCTTGTGACTCCATAAAAGGCCCAGATTGCTCATTAAGCATCTCAGTTCACCTTGTGTTATGGATACCTTGTCTGGGACCTGCGATAAGCCCCTACACCATGTCATGGGTCCAGACTTTCCCCTTTCATGCATACACACAGGACCACAGGTGCTAAGATGAAAGTGGGTCTCAGTTCTGGTCCTTATGTAGCCAAAATGATACCATCCGTAGAGAAGAGAGATCAGCATGCTTGAATGAAGTACAAAGATCCCTCCTATGATCAGGGGCCGAGGAAGGGGGGCAGTGGGGGCGGACCACCCGGGTGTCTTCGCTGAGGGGCTTGACATTTGGCACGGGCGGCGCACCAAATGTCTGCCATCGGCGACTCACTCCACCCCCGTGGGTGGCTCACTCCGCCCCTGGCCGCAGGGCGCCCGTGCCTCTCCATGCACCCGAGCCTCTATCCCGCACCTGGGAGGGCCCCCTCCATGCCCTGCCCCCCTCGGGAGCACGCCCACCCTGGGCAGTGCGGGCATATGCTCCGTCGCTGCATATGACCAGAAACAAATCCTAAGGAGGCGAACAACAATGCTGCAAAACAGTCCAGTGAGAACTGTGCATGCTCTGTGGGCACAGAATGTCAATTGAGTATTGCCAGTTTTTTGGGGGGGGGCAGAAAACCATGGGGGAGGGGGATGGAATGAAGTGGCTGGAGCCCTTGACAGAACTGAAAGGAAGCATCCCCACAATGCATTTTTTTGTGGCAGCTCCCAGTTGCACTTCCAGATTCCAGTGTGCTAGATAACAAGAGTGTGCACAGCACAACAGATGTGACTAAAACTTAGTTCATATTATCTTAGTGATGTTAACTCATGGATATAGGCACAGAACCAATTTAAGAATAGAAAAGGAGCATACTGGAGCTGACATGCCAGTTGCCTGTTTCCAGGGGAGTAAAGTGGCCCCTTTGTTGTGGAGATTAATACGTACTATTCTAAGACATTGTTTGCATCTATTATTTCTGTTGGCTGGTTTTTGATCCCTAAAGTACTGGGATAAAAAATGCACTCTTCTTTGCTTGCGAGCACTTCCAAGCGCAACTGACAACAACATCCCAGTGAGTCGCTTATTTCAATTCTGATATTTTAACTTAACTGAAGGAGTACCACAGCTAATGGAAATATTCCCCAAGCCTTGGATTATTGTACACGCCAACTTAGCAGCCTCAGGCTCTGAAAATATGGTTTGAATAAAAAATAATATTTTAGGAGTTTTAATACAGGCAATGATTAGATGTGCCTTGCCCCAGCAAGCATCTTCATAATTTTCAAGTCAATTTATTTTCCCTGATAGAAGGCTTTGAGTACTGTGTGAGACAGTTCTTCTAGCAATAGAAAAGAGCACAGAAAGATGGAAAACAATATGGACTCTGAAGCTGTGTCTGTAATGTTGCATGGATTATGCATGGAGCTTTGCCCTAGTGGGATATTATTGTAGAGATTTAAAACAATCCTTCATGCCCTTCAAAGAAAACTACTTTAATTCAGATTCTTTGCTCAGTAAGGTTCTCTGATGTTAAACCCAAAAGGAACATGTTTATCAACTGTTTTGGTGGGTGCAGAGGCAGGCCGGGGCCGGGAGGATGGTAGGGAAATGGCTGTTCCATTTTTCACTGAAAAGCAGTCCCATGTGTGAGAGTTTTTAAACCTTTATTTTGTATCTCTGAACACAATGCTAAAAGTAATGACAGAAAATAGTGCTTTTGGTGACTTATGCAAGTGTGCCTACCCTATGGAATACTAATACATGCAGCATATAAGATATAATTAGCAGGGCTGCCTGGTTAATTAGTTTTAAAATGTATACAGTATATATACATTTTTTAGTTTTGAAAAATGTATATATTGCTAATGTATTCCCCCCTCCCTTTAGTGTTAATGTATCTGTGTTGGGGAAATTGCAAGTTGCTTTGGGTTGCCCTAAGTAAGATAAAGCGACTAACAAATTTAATTAATAATAACGCATATATAAAATATTTTAGCAGTGATGAGCGAGTATAAAACCACAGTTAAATCTGAGAAAGATATAAAAGCAAACATCTTGTGGGAGCTCTACAAACCTTTACATCAAACTTGCCCTTTCAGAAGAAAAGAGGGTAGCCATCCCTACTCCCCCAAGCGGTGAAATAAAATATGATAGCCAGTTTTCAAACAGCTTGTCAATCTCTCCTATACATACACAAGTTCGTTCTCTGCTTGAGAGATAACAGAACTAGATATGGTGCAGTCTGTCGTATTCTGAGAAATTGCTGTTCGTCAGGCCCTCACACCTGAGGTGCTATCTCTGTTGTACTATCTAAGAGAAATATTTTTAGCTAACGATTCATCTCTGACTCTGGACTTCAGCTGCAGTAATGTGAGCAGAGGTGCCTGCTATACAAGGAGACCTGGTGTAAGTAGTCTGAGAATCAGAGAGATTGCCAGATCATCACATTCAATCACTATGGCAGAATTGCTAAAGGATAAGACTAGGGAAGCAGACTTCACTTTTCTTCAGCTAGTTCTTCACTCAGTACCATAGTACCGTTTACCTGACATAATGTTTTCCCTCTGCAGAAAAATAAAATAACCATGAAAATAACAGAATGCAAATGAACACGAATTTTAAAGGAGGGATCTGTGATCTAGAGACTAGAGTGCTTCGTGATCTCTCCTTCAAATCCATGTGGATATTGTGCTTCTCCAGTGAAATGGTTTTCCCAAAGAAGAAAAACATTTGAAACAGAATCAGTCCACAGAGAACGATTATATTCCTATGAGCAATGCCATGTGTTCTTGACAGCATAGCTACAGTGGGTACTTCTCCCTCTGAAAGAATCCCATGTGGCACCAACTCACCTGGGAGATGATGCTATGGAGCAATTGAACTTATAGCCTTGGAAAATAGTTGTTGTTGATTCTCAGAAAACAGTGCTGCAGGTTTAAAGCTGTAGAGCAGGGTTGATGATTGTTGCAATTGTGCACATACATCAGGTTATCCCCTTAAAAGTGTGTATTCGTGAATAGCCTCCAAAAGATAGTTTCAAAAATAAATAAATAATCTATCAGCTCAGTGTACTTGGTGCAGATGTGTCATGTTTAGCAATTTACATTGAGCACAGCATATTAGACTAATTCTGTGTGTGTGTGTGTGTGAGAGAGAGAGAGAGAGAGAGAGAGAGAGAGAGAGAGAGGTCTCTAGGCTCTTCAGAATTGTGGGATAATTGCCATTTGTTTTTCTCCTTCACCTTTCTGCTCTTTTGAAAACAACTAGCATTCCGCAAGGGGATTTCAGTGATGAAAGGTGAAGTGAAGACTCCACTGGCAATTGGATATTTTGGCTTAGTAGAGTCATTGCTGCTTGAAAGAGAAATTGGCTTCCCTAGAGAATATGTGGGCAATAAAGAAATAAAGTCACAGATGAGTTTGTATAAGAGCACATAAAAACTCACCCCTTTTGTCATAGTCATCTATGTGGGGAAACAGAGAACTAAATGGCTCACTAGTAGCATGACCGTTATATTTGTTTAAGTCATTTTACAAATCCACACCTCTTTTAGAAGTGTTTATTTCCCTGAGGAGACAAGCAAAGGGTTCTGTCTTACAAGTCAAGTATGCCAGCCTGTAACAGGATTAAATGGTGCTTTGCTGTTGGACTGAAGTATGAAAAATGCCCTTAGCATTAGGTCAGGATGTGAGGAAGTACTCTGGAGAAATCAAGCTGACCTGGGGGCTACAATTTTAAGCCTTGCCAGAAGATGTCTGTTTGGGCTTTCAGGACTGCTTAAGGAAGTTATGGATCTAAAAATTCCCTTGGTGATTAGGTTAAATATGCCTTTGATAGTCCAACTGTTAATGTGTTAGTTTGTAGTAGCAAAATAATACTAAATAGTTAACAAGTCACAAAGATGTGACCCTGTCTTAATGATCCACTGGGTTGTCTGTTGGTGCCTACGGCTTTAAATGCTCCAAGGCATTTGTTGGATGCATGCTTCCCTGATCTACTGTGGGCCTCTTTTGCCCACCCCCATGGTCAGCAAGAACGTGTGAATGGGAAAGAGGATAGGCAAGAGCACTTGAACAGATCTGTCCTGGAAAATCTCAATGTTGAACTAACCCAGGGAAGCATTTCCGATTCCCATCTTGCTCCTTGATCGGAACAAGAAGTGGTTGTACATATTACCGTATTTTTCCGTGTATAAGACGAGCTTTTTTGACCCAAAAATGAGGTTCAAAATTTAGGGTCGTCTTATACACGGGTAGTGCTGAGGGGGAACAGGTGAATGATTTTTTGGCACGAGCCCAAGATTGTAAGTGGCGATTGGCCACTTGATTGTTGGTGGCGGGGAGGCCGAAAATCACTCAGCCACCAGAATGCAGCACACAACCGCTCGCTTCGCTTACAATTGCCGCTTCCAATCTCGGGCTCGCACTTAAAATCTCGGGCTCGCACTTTGTTCCAGCGGGTGAGCAATTTTCGGCATTTGCCGCCTGATTATTGGGGAAGGGGGAATGCCGAAAATTGCTCACCCGCCAGAACTCAGCACACAACCACTCACGTCGCAGCTGCCTGATCGCTGCCATTAGCCCTCCCAATTCCGCTGCAGCAACCAATAGACATCTGTCCTTGTCGCAGCAAGCGGGAGCGTGATTGGCAGCTGCTGGCGGTGATCAGGCAGCTCATAGGTGCTTTCTGCGACACAAGCTCCAAGTGACTGTGGAGGCCAATTCTGGATCCACATGTCCTTTCACAGTGGGGACATTCCTTTCTGGGTGGGAGTTGATCACAGTGTGGATTTGCCAAGTGTGCCTTCCTCCTAGCACGTTTCTCCCTTGTGTCCTGAGTTCGAGTGTCTTCAAAGCCCATGACACCTGTGGTAAAGGCTGTTCTCCAATTGGAGTGCTCGCAGGCAAGTGTTTCCCAATTGTTGGTGTTTATACTACATTTTTTTAAAAAATTGCCTTGAGACAGACTTTAAACCTCTTTTGTTGACCACCAGCATTACGCTTTCCATTTTTATGTTCGGAATAGAGCAGTTGCTTTGGAAGACGATAATCAGGCATCCGCACAACATGACCAGTCCAATGAAGTTGATGTTGAAGAATCATTGCTTCAACACTGGTGATCTTTGCTTCTTCCAGTACAGTACACTGGTATTAGTTTGCCTGTCTTCCCAAGTGATGTGTAAAATTTTTCGGAGACACGGTTGATGGAATCTTTCGAGGAGTTGGAGATGGCATTTATAATGCAATGTTGAACACATTTTATTGTCTGCATGCAACATGCCACCCTCCTCCTCCTGGCCACTTCAGGCTCAGAAATTGTGTTGTTTCATGCCTGCACCCTACTCCACTCCACTTCCATGCTCCATCTCCCAGTGTTTTTGGTTTTGCAGTCACTCACTGTGTTTTTTATGTACAATATATACATGGTCTTTTGTATGTAATAAATCAGGCTTTTAAAAAAAGGAAGGAAGGAAAAAGAAAGAGAGAGAGAGAGAGAGACTGGATGTACAGGAGCAGCTGATGAGTAAGTTGTTGCTTGATAAAAAAGAAAACAGCAGTCCAGTGTAAGCAAAGTTTGATCACACCAGAAGCATTTGTGGCAAGAGAATGTGCTTTGAAGTGACAGCAGTGTTACTCAGCCATATTCAGGTGGTCTTGCCAATATTAAATTCATGGGTTTTGAAAGTACAAAATGGCACTATTTCCTTCAACGGGCTTTGTGAAGGAATGTAACTTTTCAGTTATTTCTTAATTCTGTTTTTGTTTGTAAAAATGGTTGTCTTCAGTTAGAGCAGGATTGGGGAACCCCCAGGCCTCACTAGACCACATCTCTTCCCTCAGGCCACACCCCTCACTGGTCCAGATCTGCACCCTCTCAAGTGTTTTTGCCTGGCTAGAATGTGTTCTTGAACTAGATGGATGGTGGAGAAGCTATCGGACATGAAAGTCATGCACAACATGTACTGAAAAGACTAGGTGGCTCCTTTCCTGGGGATCAAGCTAATCTGTCCATCCTCAGTGAATTTAACACGAGAGACTCCTATGCAAGAGTCAGAAGCCCCCCTTCAAATGAGCCCCACCATTTGGTCCCTCTCCAACTTCCCATCCCCACTGGCTCCATCCTTGCACATCGGGAAGGGAAGGGAAGAACATAAGCATATTCAGTTGAATATGCATTGGCTCTTCCATGCAGTTCAGAGCCCACTGTGATCAGGCCTCCCAGTCAGATACAGTGTGATCTGGGTACCTCTTCAGACCTTTTGCCCAATGTATGAAGGTCTGGGGATGTTGATGGAGCTCCACTCCTCCTCACATACCTTCTTGGAATACAGGGTGAGGTTAACTTCTGAAATAGCCTGAAGCAGACTGCAGCAACAGTGGTTTATGACCCCAAACTATCAGAATGCAGCAGGCGTTTAGAGCTCTTATTAGTTAGCTAACTCTGGCAATGCAATATTGTAATGTGGAAGGTGACCTTAGGAATTGCTATGATGGAGTGTGTCAGGTGCTGTAGTGCTACTATCTAACTAAGCATGGTTTTACCCTTGGGTTACATAGGCCTTCAAACATTGTATAATCAAATAATACACCCATACAAATATCCAGTGACATTTTTATGACTTACGGTTGGGGAAACTGTTTTCTTGTCTATGCATTTATTTGTTATCTTTTTACCCTGCCTTTCCTCCCATTGGAGCCCCAGGTGGCATACATATTGTATAAAATATATAGTATTTGGAGGGTTGGTGCGTGGATACAGATAACTGAGGTGTGTGTGTGTTGAGACAAAGAGACAAAGCAAACTGTATGCATGTCAGTGAGCTAGAGTTATAAAGGCACAATATATGTGGTTGCTCTGCTCTGAATAGTACTTTAGGTTTAGAAACCAAACTCCTACCTTTTTGTTGGAGCTAATTGAGCCTAAACTGTCCCCAAAGGAGCCGAGCAAAAATGGAAATGAGAGAAAGGTGATTAGATGTTACCGTGATGGTGTACAACAAAAGCTGATAGCTATCAGAAGGGAGGATGGATATTCTTCCATCACTACTTTAGTACAACAATAAAGGAAATCACAGTGAGATCATATAATTATGTTGCTAATTATATTGTTTCTCATGTTAGCAACACAGAAATCTGTGCAACATAATGTATCCTGGATAAAGGAATTGACTTGGAAAGGAGCCAAATGCAGACAATCTTATAGTCATGTTTTCTTTTTCCTCCTGCCACTTTTATTCTGTTTCTTTTCTCAGTACTATGAACCAGTTCACACATGAGAAGGCCCAGCCATGGGTGCCTTGGGAGTTTGCAGGTCCCCCACTGGGTTTGAAGCCAGGCCTGCAGAGAGATGCCATTCAAATGAGTTGCTGCCTTCATATCAGATATAGATAAATAGAGATATGTCCTGATTTTTGCAAACCGGGGTTTCTCATCAAGAATAAGTGCAGCTCCATGTATTTCACCAATGGTGTATATTGCTTTGCAAATGTACCACCTTTTAATATAATTTGAAATAAAGAAGACATTCCAGTGTGAGAAATTCTGAAACAATAACAAAACAGTAGTACTGTAATATTGTGTTCTGTGGAGCTGTGTGTTCTCTCTCTCTCTCTCTCTCTCTCTCTCTCTGTGTGTGTGTGTGTGTGAGAGAGAGAGAGAGAGAGAGAGACAGACAGACAGACAGAACCTGACATGTCGACCCAAAAACTCATTTGGTACCACCTCCCTTTTTCCTCAGTAAATGTCTGTATAGCCTCCAAAATTCTTAATTATGATATGGATAGTTAGATAGTAAAATTAACAAAGGCAAAGGCAACATGAAAGGAAAGAAGGAATTGCTGTACAGCTGTATTTTTAAACTTCCTGGAAGATCTGAATTTATGATCAGTATACTATCCAGTTAATGTAATTCAACAGGTGTGGGGAACCTTTGTTCCTGAACTACAACGTCGTTGCCGGCCATTGGCCATGTTTTTCTGGGGCTGATGAAAGTTCTTGTTCAACAAATCGATTCCGCTTCCAAGTGGGACCGGGTTGCTCTTGGGCCATCAAGTCCCACCCCCACCTCAGCGTGGTGCAGGGTAGTGTCCTGTGTCACACTGAGGGTCTCCCAGCCACGCCATTGTTTTTGGAGAATGCAGTACAGATCACAAGGCATCACCTACAGGTCAGCAAATGTCCCCACTTCCCACTATAGTAATACAAATAAGTAGAAGCTTTGTGGTGTGTGCCCATGTTCAGTGCTGCTGCTTAACATATGTATGCTTTTATGTATGCATGAAGCCACAACAGTCTACACCTAGCATCCTGATTTTTAAGATGATGTGTTGACGTGAATGTGAATGCCCATCATGCAAGTAAAGTTCAGGAAGCTGCAGAGTGAGTAAATAATGATGTGTGCTTAAGTTCCCTGGATGCTTATTATTTATCTATTTAATATGCTTTAAACAGCCTTTTGAATATGTAATCAGGGAAGCCAAAGAGAGATTAAAGGGTGGACCTTTCCCCCTCTTTCTATGCATGTACATCAGGTCATTTTTTTAGCACTTGCTCTGAAGCACTTATACCACCCACACAGCTGTTGACCGTGGCACTGTTCACATTGGCAGTTACCTGGAGGTGATAAGAGAAGCATCCCTAATTATACCTGTCAAAGTGCATGAGGCTAAGAGTAATCTCAAAACACATTCTAAAAGGATGAGGCCTTCCTGTGGCTATAATATGCACTCACCATTCAGTAAATAGCTGCCTTTGTGAATTAGGATGACATTCAAGATCCTCAATCTGCCCCTGAGCTGCCTCTCCCTCTTATTTTCCTTCTAACCCATTAAGGCAGACGTTAAGCAGTTCTGAAATGCTGTGTGTGAAAAAAGGGCACACATTCTAGGAGCAAATTGCAGGGTGTCTATATGACCTCAAAGGTTCACCGCTGTCTTTCTCTTTTCATCTCAGACATGAATGTCATCATCGTAGGGATTATGCTGGATGACAGATTTACCTGCTTAAATACAGAAATGTGGGGGGAAAGAAATAACAGCCTGTTTACCCATCAGTTTAAAAGCAGAGTGTGTGGAAATTTGTACTTTATTTGAGCCAGGTGTGAGGTTCCTACCTGTACATGATTTTTATTGAATGTTTATAATTCAGGAGCAATACCTATAAGTAAGTAGAAAAGAAAACCCAGTTTGAATGAAACTCTTCAGTGATTGTCTTGATTGTGTGACAAGTTTCAATCAATTGCCTTCAGTTCCAAAAATATGCTTTTTAGCTGGGCAGGCAATCAAGAGCAGTGGCAAATATGCTTCAGGGAGGGGGGAGATTGTTTTGCAGGGTAAATAGTTGTGTAGAAAACATAATATTGCTTTGTTTACCAGCTCTGCTCGGAAAGCTGAAATTGCTGAGTAAGGGGATATCAGTTTATTTAGCATGTGTTCGATTCTCCAACACAGAAGTATTTCCAGGGTAAAAAGAATCTAGGCTTCCCATACGTCAGGAAAATTCCTGATATGTCCCTGTTTTCAGGTGTAAAAATAGTGTCAGAGGGAATTTTGGCGAATGGGCAGATTGTCAGGGGGAACACAGATGTATGGCAACATGATGGAAAAAGCAGCAGAAACAGCCCCAAAAACTTAAAATCACTATTTTGGGTTTAAAACGTCAAGGTGCCGGTCGGGGGAAGCACTTACGCTCAGCCTACGTTCTTGACATAGAGATCGTCATGCAACAACATAAACAGGACAGAGTAAGACCAGCAGGTTAAAACACAGATGATGAAATGACTCAGCAACGGTTTTAAGGGCGGGGCAGAAATGACATCAAAATATGTGTCAGACACACATCCCTGGAGAGAGCATTCCCTTAACAAGGCAATGAGGATGCTCCTTTCAGTGGTCCCCATCTTTTTCCCTGAAAATGCCCAACATATAATGCTGTTCTGAGGAATGCCAAGAGGATGTCCGGCACTGTCATGAATAGTAAGTAAAAATAACTGCCCCCTGTCACCACAAATGATAAGCCTGTCCCTAAATTTCAAAGAATTTTGCTCCCCAACCAAAAAATAATCACCAGTTTCAGGTATTCCTGAATTCCCCTGCTGAGAAGTTCTTAAGTGAGAGCTTTTTTTCTGAACCCTAAGCCATATTCACCCCAGGCATTCAAAGTATCATCATACCATTTCAACGAGTCATGGCTTCCCCCAAAGAATTCTGGGAGCTGTATTTTGTCAAGGGTGCTGAGAGTTGATAGGAGACACCTATTCCCCTCGCAGAGCTACAGTTCTTAGAGTAGTTTGATGATCAATCCATCTTCCCAGGGAACTCTGACAATTGTAGCTCTGTAAGGAGAATCGGGGCCTCCTAACAATTCTCCACACCTTTAACAAATAACAGTTCCCAGAATTCTTTGAGGAAAGCTGTGACTGTTTAAAATTGGCACCATAAATGTATGGTGTGAATGGGACCTTAATGTATATAATAAAGCCTGTAGCACAAGTGTGGTTAGGGATTGATGTTAGTCTTGTAAAGATTCAGTATTTTGATTGTACACTTTTCCACTTGTTTCCCTCAGACTGCTAAGGCTGGCGGGGGGGAGAGGGGGGAATGACCAGGCAGTCAAACTGCAGAACCGTGAAAAGGTCATATAATGAAATGTATAATGTATTTAGTGCGTATTACGCAGCTGTCTTCCCCTGAATTTATGGAGGGTTTAAAAACCTCTTGCAACAAAGATCATAATGGGAACTGAAAATGCCACAACATAAATTGATTTTGTGCTAATGATTGTGACAAGAATTGAAAATATATGGATGCAAACATTACCTTTTACACTTAAAACCTGTCTTGAGACATTATGTAAATGTAATTGCATGGCCTGCTTCATATCGTTACTACCCTAGCTTTAGAGATAGAGAGATATGCACACATACACACGTATATGCAAAGAGATAGGGTGGGAAGAGACGGTTTTCTCACAGGTGTCTGTTTGGCCACTGTGAGAATACGATTCTGGACTAGATGGGCTGTTGACCTGATGCAGCAAACTCTTCTTATATTCTTATGTATTTATAACATCAAATCAGACAACTTTAAACTACTCACTCCTATTGACTTTACCAAGAGGATAGAACATGCTTTGGTGTATGATGGAAGACTAAATTAAGAAGGCAAACTCAAGTCTCCTGTGGGCTCAAGATCCAAAAATTCGATAATATAGCTTTCCCCCATTCATTGCATGGAGCAAGTAGCAGACTGGTCAGTTCTGAGGATTATGAGATTGCAAGTGTGCATCTCCTTTGTCTATTTATTTTAGCAATTTACTTCCTACTTCTTTCCAGGGTGGCTTACAAAGAGTTAAAATCACAATGTCTCAAGGCATTACTTGGGCTTAAAGCTTAAGTTGCTTGAGCTCATTATTTGAGCTCTGAACTCAATTGCAGAGAGCAAAGGCTGTATGTGTACAAAAGGGGGCTATGCACAACCCACCCACCCCCATTTCCCAAAATGCCCATGTGCATTGCCTGTATGTGTGTGTGTGTATAGGTGGGAAGCCCTATGACATTCTCCAAATGTGAATGCTGCACATCATCTCCTCACAAATAATGGTTAAGCAGTAGTGGGACATAATGGCCTCTTTTTAAAATAATGTTAACCATTGATGAGATATAGATAGAGAGATACTTCAACTCTCTGCTAAGAGACAAACTAGTAAAAAGGTGAATGGTGAAGGTTAAACCTCATGTATGTGTATGTATGTATGTATTTGTGTGTGTGTGTGTGTGTGTGCAGTGGTACCTCTGGTTACGTACTTAATTTGTTCCGGAGGTCCATTCTTAACCTGAAACTGCTCTTAACCTGAAGCACCACTTTAGCTAATGGGGCCTCCTGCTGCCGCCGCACCGCCGCCACACGATTTCTGTTCTCATCTTGAAGCAAAGTTCTTAACTCGAGGTACTATTTCTGGGTTAGCATAGTCTGTAGCCTGAAGCGTATGTAACCTGAATCATATGTAACCCGAGGTACCACTGTACAGTCATACCTCGGGTTGAAGTAGCTTCGGGATGAATATTTTTGGGTTGTGCTCCGTGGCGACCCAGAAGTAACGGAGTGCGTTACTTCCGGGTTTTGCCGCGTGCACATGCGCAGGCGCTCAAAATGACATCATACACATGCACGGAAGCGGCGAAACGCAAGCCACGCACGCGCAGACGCGTAGTCGCATCTTACATTCACTTCAGGATGTGAACGGGGCTCCAGAGCAGACCCGTTCGTAATCCAGAGGTACCACTATGTGTGTGTGTGTAGATATAGATATAGATATAGATATAGATATAGATATAGATAGATATAGATTGTGTAAGATATGCATATGGTCAGAATGAAAGCTTTCAAGCTTCAGCAGTAAGTGCCATATTCAATTTCTTATGTTCAGGGAAGAAATTGTTACAGGAGTGGTAATGATGGAACGGGAGGTGGGGGAGGGAAATATGACAGTTAGATGAAAATTACCACATTAAGATTTGCCCATATCTGCATTTTCAGCAGAACCCTTTGAAACTGAAACAACTAAATCATATGAAGAGCTATGGGATTTTAAGTTCTCTTGACTGTGCTGTGCTAATTGGAAGGCTTTATGAAAGAGAAAGGGAAATAGACCTATCTGGAAAATGAGCATATTGTTGAATAAATAAAAATGAATAAGGCACTGTTGCAGTAAATTTAAGGCCTTCTGCAAAAAAGAAAAAAAAGGGGGGAGGAATTGTCTTCTTTAGGCCAAAATGATGAGAAATCTTGTGCAAAGGACAGCTACCACATGAAAACAAGTTCATAATCAATGCAAGCTTGAGTGCATGTGAATTCAGTTGCCTTATACTGCATCAGCCACTGGTCCTTTTAGCCCAATGAAAGGGGTCTTTCCCATCATCTATGTCTTGGTGTAGTGGTTAAGAGCAGTAGTCTCGTAATCTGGGGAACCGGGTTCGCGTCTCCGCTCCTCCACATGCAGCTGCTGGGTGACCTTGGGCCAGTCACACTTCTTTGAAGTCTCTCAGCCCCACTCACCTCACAGAGTGTTTGCTGTGGGGGAGGAAGGGAAAGGAGAATGTTAGCCGCTTTGAGACTCCTTAAAGGGAGTGAAAGGCAGGATATCAAATCCAACCTCTTCTTCTTCTTCTTTAACTGGAGATACCTAGGATCAAATCTGTGAGCTTATGCATGCAAAGCGTGAGCTGCTTCACTGAGCTAGAGCCCCTACTCTTTACTCTTAGAACAGTAGATGAAAACCCTTTCTAAGCATCTCAGTGCTAAGATTGGAGATAAGCATCTATCCGCTTTTTAACAGTAAAAGGTAGCATGTGGAGGCTCATTTCCAATTTTAGGCAGAGACCTATCTATGTGCTGTGGTTCCACAGCACTGCACTCAAGAGATAACTGCCTGCCTGCTCTTTAAAAGGCAGCAGACATGGACTTGGTGCTGTGGGACCACAGTGCTAAGTTCAGAGATAACTCTCTGCTACTACTTTAGTGTCAAAGGCCAGGCAGAAGCTTATCTCCAGTTTTGTCACTATAGTCCAACAGCACTAAGATTAGGGAGAAAAGCAATGCATCCCAGTCTTTGACCATAAAAGGCAGCATTGCCACCCATTCCTAAAGCTAAAAGGTAAAGGTAAAGGACCCCTGACAGTTAAGTCCAGTCACGAACGACTCTGGGGTTGCGGCGCTCATCTCGCTTTACTGGCTGAGGGAGCTGGCGTTTGTCCACAGACAGTTTTTCCAGGTCATGTGACCAGCATGACTAAGCCGCTTCTGGTGAAACCAGAGCAGCGCACAGAAACGCCGTTTACCTTCCTGCCAGAGCGGTACCTATTTATCTGCTTGCACTTTGACGTGCTTTCGAACTGCTAGGTTGGCAGGAGCTGGGACCAAGCAATGTGAGCTCACCCCGTCGTGGGGATTCGAACTGCCGACCTATCAGCAAGCCCTAGGCTCAGTGGTTTAGACCTAAAGCTAGCAATGGCTAAAAAGCTAGAGAGGTAGCACAGGCTAGCTTTTTGCCACTACTATCAGATGCTGCAAAAGGCCTGTGTGTCAACTTCCTAAGTGTATAAACAACTGAGAGGTTGAGGTGTGCCAAGTGTTATTCTGTTTTAATCCTTAGCGCAACATTGTAAAATAAGACAGTATTGTTATTCTCTGTAATGCCAATAGGAGAACTGAGGCTGGGAGAGAGTGGCTTACCTGAGGCCATATAATGGGTTTGTAGCACAGGTAAAATTTAAACTAGAGACTTCCTGATCTGTAGCTCAGTCTCTTGCAGTGCAATCCTAAGCGTGTCTACTCAGATGTAAGTCCTATTAAATTCAGTGGGACTTACTTGCAGATAAATGGGGTTAGGATTGCAACCTTAACCACTAGATGCTGCACAACACACTACTATATTATTAAATTCTGAAAACATGCATTGCCTGAAAAATCGGTTTCTGTTCATGATAACATTATACTGTCAGAATCATTATGCAATGAGGATGTAACGTATGATGATCCTATGCAACATTCATTTCCAGGTGCACCCAACCTAAATACAGTACTATAATTTTAGTGGTAATTCTACGTGTCAGGCTATGTTAAAAAGACAGTATCCCGTATGAAGTTTTTCACTGCCTTCATTCTGAAGCTCACAGAGGACCAGTGATCATTAGAGGTTTTTGACTAAGGCCAAGATGAGGACAGCCTTAGATCAGAAACCAAAGAAGCAGAGACCAGAAACAGAATAAGTAAAGTGAAAAACATTTCAAAGTGGTGCCATATTATTCTTTATTTCCTCATTATTTTGCCATCTCCTTGAATTAAATTCATATTTCCCATAGGAATCACACCAATTTAAATAATCATTCCTTAGTTGAAGTCATGCAATTTCATCCTATTATTTTAATCCATTCATCTGATTACCAAAGTAGAGCTGATATTTAGTTTCCTTGTGTTACTACTGCAATCCAGTCACTAATCGGTGACGCCTGTGAAAGTGCTAATATTTTGCTCTATGAGATTGTAGCAGATAATTTGTTGTTCTGATTTTCATAGACAGATGAATATGATAAAAGGGTAACTTTCTCATAAAATGCCAACATGTTTGATGCGGCAGACACATTTGACAAGTAAACAGGACACCTGATTTATAGTACACCATGTGGAACTTGCTGTGATTAGACTTTTAATGATGATAAAATGTTTGTGACTAAGACACAAGGAGGACAACCACATATTTTATAATAAACAAGAGCAAGCAGCAGAATCTGCCCACATCATGATATCTGTAGCAAGGCTTATTTTCTTCAACTAAGTTTACTCATTCAAGAAATAACATAACATGCTTAAAAGAAGACATTTTTATTGACATTTATCTTGCCTAGAAGATACCAGATTTCTCTATAAAGAATTCATCTCATATTGTGGGCTAGATAAAATAAATTAACATGAAGAGGTTTTAGTCAATGCATTATGCATTGTTCAGATCTGCAGCCAGAATGCCAGTTTATACTTTTGCTACTGGAAGGGAAGCTCTTTGCTTCCTAAGTGACCCACATAAGAGACAGTACCCCAGCAAACAAGCCTCAGCCGTGGTCTACACGTATACAGTTGTACCTTGGTTCTTGAATTTAATCCATTCCAGGAGTCCGTTTTGACTCCCGAAATGGTTCAAAAAACAAGGTGCAGCTTCTGATTGGCTGCAGGAACCACATCAGACGTTCAGTTTCCAAAAAACATTCGCAAACCGGAACACTCACTTCTGGGTTTGTGACGTTCGGGAGCCGATTTGTTTAACATCTAAGGCATTCAACTACCAAGCCAGTGTTAAAATGGATTGTACCATGAGACTAAAAGTGGGGGCTTTTGTTTCGGAATGCTCTCTTATTCCCTGCAAGAAGATGTAGATATCAGGGGCATCTGTTGTAGCCATTCCCTTGTCCCTGCTGTGGTAGTTTACAATTTACAGAGTGATGTTATTGTTAATTCAGGGGCATATTTAGAAAAGTGATTTCCTGCCTGAAGCCTAAAATTTTGCTTTCCGTTCTACCACCTCAGGACTCTACCACCTCATTCCAGAAATTGAGGGTCCCAATAGAATACATATGCAGTTGACATGCAGCTGCTCCTTCTTTTTCTGAACCAGTGTATAAGGATAGTTCAGAAGTGAATGTGGACAAATTTAGGCTTAATCCAGACAAGATAGAATTGCAGATACCAGGCAGAAGAGTGAGCTGTTGGGTAAGCTCTGTTCTTCCCTGCCTTTGCTCCATTATGAACACACAGGCCAGGCTCCAGTTTCAGAACAGATTCTTACTAGGGATTCCTTTCTTTAACATATACTGGTGTTTTTTTTCTGGAGACCTTAACATGTGAGACACAACTTGCCCAACTAGAAATATACTTTGCCCCTTCTGTGCCCTCCTTCCAGAGCTGATCTTTTTTTCCTGATGCCACCACTACCTCCATCACTTTCTCCCTGGCTGTCTGGTATAGTCAAGGGAAGGACACCTATTTCTGCTGAAGGTGATGCCTGCTCTCAACTTAGGATAGGAGGTCCAGAAAAGCAGCCAGGGGAAACTAGCCTTGCCTTGTCTGGTGCCTCATCTCCCATTGCTTAATATAAAGATACAGCTGTTCATTGATTTCCCTATAATACTCACTGGGGAGGCATGAAACTTCAGTTTTCTGAACTGGGCTTCTAAATTGGACCTGCAGTGAAGTAGGCAGCCATCGAAGTGGTTCAAGCCAAACTGAGCTGATTTCTGAATTGGGAGTCCTAATCATATTTGTGGTTGGTACACACCCCAAATTCCTACCCCTCCTCTAATAAATCACCCAAGCTTAATTTTTTTAAAAAAATTAAGGTCCACCCCCAGGACCTAGAATATCTGCTAAGTTACATGTTTGTTTGGCAGCCCCCTATAAAAAAGAAAATCCATTAAAAGAAATATTAAAATATTGCTCTGCTCAGCATGTGGAAATAATGGCTTTCTGCCTGCTACCACAGCCAGCCAGTTGACTTTCTGCACAGCCAGGTAAAGAGGAAGGTAGTTATTTGTTTGTAAAAACAAAGGCTGGCCAATCCACACTCTGCACATCTGGACAGGAAGCGCTGTTAGTCTAACCACCAGGCAAATCAGGATGAATGCTGAACAAACAGATTGTCTGGATGAACCTTAAGTACTTTGACCATGACAAAGTGGATGTGTAGAGCATTTCCTGGCAGACACAGTTCTGTGGATCAGTAATAAACCTCTTATTGCCCAATTATCATGTACCAGTTGATCATTGGTATTTGCCAACTGCAAATACAGGATCTGGAAAAAAGCAAACCAGCTGTTGTCCTGCCAGAGTTTATGCCAAGGATTGGAATACCATTGGCTTGGAGTCATCCCATGCCCATGTATAAAGCACTACACACTCTGGATTTGTTCCTCTCACTTTTGGCCACATGAGAGGGGTGAGGGTGAGAGAGGCAAATACAGATGTAACTGGGTAACAGGAATGCCACCTGTCAGAAAAACTATTTGAATGCATTGCTGCCACTTGTGTGGTTTGTTATTGGTCCAATTCCCTCCACACAAAAGCTTCAAGGGAGCAGGGAGACCTCTGTTTTTATAGTAAAATTTGAGCAACTGTAGTTAATTTCAGGCTTAGCTTCCCTAGCTTTACGCCAGTGTAGAGGTTCCAAGGAAATGAACTGTCAAATGTAATTTTTGTCTATCTCTTAAAGGAAGGAAAAAAGCTTGATAGAATTTTATGCTTATAGGATTAATCTGCCTAGCGGATCAGCCATACAACACAATTTTAATTACACTTACCATCCTTCACTGCATTCTTTCATTCTCTGGCTGAATCGTATCGGAGCGAAGGTCTGTGAGATGTGTTGTGGTCTGCTAAGCACCAAGTCTGAAAGTTTGCTTTGTCATTGTTTTAAATAAATAAAACTCACACTGGTGTTTTAGAGAGCAGTGGCGATTATATAAAAAGATGTTGCATATGTGGCAGACACAAGCTACACAAACTACTACATGTTTTCCTTTCCTGAGGGGGTTGAGGATACTGAAGAATCACTGGCAGAACTTTCAGAAATGAATGACAACAGAGGAAGTGCAGAAGTGCTGAAGCAGACCAGAAGCATGTTATGGAAGATAATTATTGCCAGTTGTTCATTATGTATCATGCTATGGTTAAGTGAGTTTTATTGCCTTTATTTGCATTGTAACTAGAATTTTCCTGGTCGTCGCATGTCACTGCTGTATCTTTCCAGTATCTAAATGTAAATCTGTTGTAGCTGCCTTTATCAATTCAGATTTTTTTTTAAAAAAACCCACAAAGGAAACAAATGAAGGCTTGTCACTTAAGATAACTATGAACTGACAAGTTTTTCTACACACATCATTTGCCATGTAAAATATTGAGGTGGCTACATTGCAGATGCCTCACTTAAATGCTGTTGCCTCATAAGCAGATAATTTTGTAACTTCATTTTACAACTGAACACACCCATACAAATACAATGACATTTTTCTTTTTGTTCAAACTGAACTGAGAAAACATAGTCAAGGAGAATATTTATTTCTATGTAGTTGTGGTATTCCTATCCTGCAACTTCTGTGCTGTGGTTTTTCCGCAGTCGGTACACCATAGTCACATTCATAACATACATTTAATGCACATATAAAGTACATGAATTTCATCAAAAAAACCTGGAAACTGTAGTTTGTGAAGGGTGCTGGGAATCATAGCTATCTGAGGGGTAGACAACACTTCCCAGGATTCCTTGGGGGAAGCCATCTTTGTTAAGTGTGCTTTAAATGTATTGTGTGGATATGAGGCCAATCCACACTGTTTTTCTCTGATCACATTAAGGCAATGTTGTATGTATGATAAGTTTGTTATTTCTCAATGTCCGTAGTATAGAGTCTTTATGGGACCCCACATAGAAAATTATGTCATCATAATATTTTATACTGCCTTGGTTCGAATATACTGCTAGGATTTGCCTCCGTTCTGGGTTTTCCTACATGTAGTGTCTGAGCATGCTGAAAACTTTTGTACATGCTCAGTAGGGATGGTTGAAGCACCTGCCCTTACTCACAGGATAAGCAACCTTAAAAATAAAATATTTAAGTTCTGCAAGTGGTTCTTCAGTATCCTTAACCCCCTCCAGAAGGAAAAATGTAGTAGTTTGTATTTGCCACATATGTAACGTCTTCATAAATAAGTGCCACTGTTCTCTAAAACACCAGTGTGAAGATTTTGATCACCTGAAACAGGTGTATGCCTTGTCTAAGGTAATGTCTGACTGCAACTCCTAGTGATGCCTCTCCATGTACCAACTTTTCTCCTTGCCTAGTAATTTGAGTTCCCCATTTTTGTGGGACATCTGAGTTCGCATTCTGTGGTTCCCACTTCATGTACAAGAGTGCACTTGTATTTTTATATCAGCTCAGTACTTCTCCAGCTTTGCCCTTTCCCCTTTATTCATCTGCCCCTAGTATCACTACTTATTTTTCCCCATTTTAGCTAAGTCCCCCCATCAGCAAGCTTGAACTTTGTTCTTCCTAGGCATCTCCCTTTGAAATCCAGTTTGTCCCTCTTGCCAACAGTTAAAAAGAATGTTTAAGATCAGAGTATCAATATATCAAATAAAGCTTTCCAGAACGGGTAGGGATCTTCGTGTCCTACATAGGATTATGAGAACTGAACAAAAGAAGAAATGTGTAGGGCTATAAAAGGTTTTTCTTCTGAATGGAAATCTTGGCATGTCATGTCCGAAACAAACTATACCAGTGCAAAGAAGGTCTAACTCTGTGGCATGCTTTACTGAGAGCTGTTCCATTGCACTCAATGGGATGCACTGTTGAGTACGTGTGCTTAGGACTGCAGCCTTAGTCTACCAATTTTATCTTTTAGGCAATCCTACTGTTTGCTTTTCCTGCTGAAATCCTCTTTCTTATCAGTGTGCCAGTTCTGCTCATTTTGCACACCATCTGGGGATCAATACTGAGTCCTAGTACAGCTTTTTTTGCTGCTTAAAGCCGCCAGGAAGCTAATCTACAGGAACAGTCAAGGATTTCCTGAGACATAGAGGAATTCGTAGATGCCACTAAGGCTGCACAGGCTCGTGCTTATTTTGTCTACAAATCTCTCTGTAGTTCTCAGCCATTGCTTTCAGAGATCATTTTTGACTCGTCATGAGCAGTGGACAGATGGTCTTTTCAAGTGCAGTGCCTAACACTTCATCAGGTCACGTTTCCAGTGATCTCATTGAGCCATGGGTTGCACAGTCTTTATTGCATCTCCCAGCATAGGAATTAAAGGAACTGACTATTCATCCAGCTCTTGGGAAGCAATAGTGGAAATGCTGTAACAGAGAGAAGGGCAAAGAGATCAGGATTGTACAACAACAAGTATCATAATAAGGTTTATGCAGTTTAAAAGAAAGACGTGTCATAAATGTGAAAAATAAATTTTGTAGAAGACGTTAAAAGCTTTTGTGAAGGTACACCCATATGTTCAGGTAAAATTACTTTTCCTTTTATTAACTACGCACACTCTCTTGCCACCAGTAGCACCGTGGTTGCTTTGTTCTTTATTGCAGTGTGTACACAGCAGCCAGATGTAACATCTTTTCACATGTGCAATCCTTAGCGCTGTGAGAATTAAGACCCCTGATAAACTGGCCACAGAACTGCAGTGCTATATAAGCGAATTAGCATTTCAGACAGAATTTCATTCAGCCCTGCCAAAGTGGTGAGACCAGCATCCGAAACAAAAATTGGTTAACCGATGTCAGTCTCCAGTGAAGATACTTGACGTTGATCGCTCCTCGCCGTGCTCCCCATAGCCACCTGTCTGCTTCCTGTGTGCCTGGCTTCCCTTCTTTGGGAATCGCCTTTCAGTGACTGCTGAAAGGGGGAAGGCTGGTGAGGTGTAAACGGGAAGGTTGTATAAGCTGTGAGCCGATGGTGGTTAGCAAAGCTTAGGGGGTTCAAAAGGGGTGGAAGGTAGAAAGGATTGATGGGCAAAGTGAGCAGGGCCACATACATAAAGTGGCATCAGGTGCTTTATAAAATTGCATTGGCAAGTAATAGATGGGTGCCCAATCTCCCTCTAGGAGCGTGCAATCTAAACAAGACAATGGAAAAAAACAGAAGAGGGAAAAGAGACAAGGGTAATGAAGGGTGACTTGAATCTACTTCCTATACAGCACTCCTATACTCTTCAAAGTCCCATTGAACTGAGTAGTGCTTCTGAGTAGACATGGAGGGGTTAGAAGTGCAGAAATCAAAGACATTTGCAAACAGTTCTACATTCATAGTTTCATTGCTTCCAAATATATCACCATTTCTGAAACCAGTAAAATGTTTTATTCGTAGCTCATTTCTCTGTATCTGTGTGGCTTTTTAGATTTGGGATTGCTGGCTTTTCTAAGAGAAGTGAATTTATAAATGCTAAATGGGAGAAGCCAGGTGCGAGAAGTCACAATTTTGTTTGTTTCTGAACTTTGTCACCCTGAGCAATCTGTCCATTTGGAGAGGGCAGGATAAGGGGTAGATGGGTTATTTCCGTTTTATTCTTTCATAGCAAAAGGTCAGAGGACAACAGTTCTAAATGATAGGATGAGAAATGTCTCAATCTTCAGACCATTTTTCCAAAGTAATTTAAAAATGCTGCGCTCAAACTTCCATTGACTTTTATGGATTTTGTTTGATTTATGTAGACCTAGCTATTCATCTTCCACTCAGCTACTTTGCCCAGATTCTGACGGTGAACTTTTTTTACACTGGTCCCTTACATAATTAAGGAACAAGCCTGTGGTCTTCAGAACAGTGTGCAAAAAATACATTGTAGATATCAGTACAGTGGTACCTCAGGTTAAGTACTTAATTCGTTCTGGAGGCCTGTTCTTAACCTGAAACTGTTCTTAACCTGAAGCACCACTTTAGCTAATGGGGCCTCCTGCTGCCGCTGCACCGCAGCTGCACGATTTCTGTTCTCATCCTGAAGCAAAGTTCTTAACCTGAGGTACTATTTCTGGGTTAGCGGAGTCTGTAACCTGAAGCGTATGTAACCCGAGGTACCACTGTACAGCCTTCTCTTCCCTACCAAGCTCTGTCTGCAGTAGGCATGACGCAGCATCATGGCTTGACCTCCATTTGAGGTTAGGGCGCACAAGCACCAGCTTATTCCTTTGCAACCACCACGTGCATTCCCTACCCCCAGCCCTGCTCAGTTGCACATCCCCAAAATTCCTCCCACCTGCTCCACTCATAGAAGCCTCTCCTGTCAGCCTGTCAGCCAATTAAATGAAAACCCAATGCATAGAAGCAGTATACCTCTAAATACCAGGGGCTGTTTCCCTAGTGCCCTGATTGTAGGTCTCCCAGACACCACCAGACACCTTTAGAAATAATTGCAGTAATTTAAATAGAAACACAGCATATCTCACTGTGGTGACTTGTGGGTCTGTTCAGTGTGCTGACCAGGTGTTAACTGTTTGTGGGCAATTTCAAGGGCCCTGCTCACTCTTCTTCTGGCTCTTTATTATTAAACCAGACTTGGACCTGACAACCCTTCAGATGTCAGAGGTGGGAACTACAAAGGTCAGTGGTGATGGATTACAGGTCCCATCATCACTAACCATTGGGTTCCTACATACAAATTTGCCATATGGCTGTACCCAGGATGGCCATGTGTCTTTATAGAGGACTGTCCTCTATTATTTGTTCTCTTATTTCAGGTATGATGAACCTGCACCCCCTACAGATGTTGTTAAAATTCCAACCCTAGCCCGTAGGGTCTCTTATTAAAAATGATGAGAGCTGTAGAGACACTGGTTTTCCATCCTTGCACTACAGACTTGCCAGAGAAGGGCTGACGAAATATTGAACTATGGAAGAACCCCAAGAAACTGGCCAGTATCTGGATCTAATAGAAAGAATGGCAGACAAAGACTAGTATCATAACAGACTGAGATTGCTTGTTGATACTAGTGTGTTTACATTCTGTGCACCACTACATTGTTAAATTTGTCCCCCGCCCCAATAGTCAGCTAAATAACTATTTTGCTTCCACAATGTATACTTTATAGGTGTGTGTGGAGGATGATCCTAATGAGATCCGCTGACTGATTTTTCAGTTTGCTGGCTTTTTCCATGAGTTAAGAATCAGGGGTCTCCAGCCACTGCCCTCCAAGCTGAAACCTTGTCAACATTATCATCACCATTATTGAGTCACTTCTTCTTTCAACCCAGTTCACATAGTTGATGGAGCAAGGAAATGTAGTTGCCTGCCCAGATGGGAATTATAATTATTGAAGATACCACACAGAGCTACTGTTTAGAATTTTCTGAATTTATACCAGTTCCATATGATGAGGCAGCACCTCCCATCTGTGATCATCTGGCATGGCTGTTTGTTTGTTTGTTTTAATTATTGTTGCCTAGATGCCTCCCCCCCCCCCCGAATAATTCATTCCAATACTTGAAGTGACAATCAGCTGACAGTTTAAGTTTCATGGAAGGCAAACCCCATTATATTTGGTTTAAAGTGACAACTGACAGAAAATTGTATTGACAGGCCATGATAGAGTATGATTTCCAAACAGGAAGCAGTCATCTTGAATTAATTAATTAATGATAATAGAAGTTAATTTGGAAATTTTGGTGGTTCACAGTTCCCTGTCGAAATGCTTATCTGATTTTGCTTGCAGCGGTTGACTTATTCTGAATGAGATGTTTTCTCTTATAATTAAACTAAGAGATGCTGACACTTAAAGAAGTGGTGTGTTAGTTGCTGTATCAGCACTATAAACACTATAACATTTTCTATTCTAGCCTTGCAAGAATGTGAGCTCTGTATTGAAAAAGTACATACCTCAAGGATTTCCAGTTTTGCCATCAGGTCTAACTTTACAGGTGCCTGTCTTTGCTGGGGGCTTTTAGCATCAGTAAGGCTCTATACAGGTGTGGATTTTTGCTTCTTAAAGACCCATTAGAATCAGTGAAGCATCACAAAGCCTTAAAAATCTGTTGGGTTGTTTAAATGTGAAAAGTAAAAAAGAAGAAGGTGTGCAGAGTGTTTGCTGTAGCAAGAAGTGTTAAATGAGAAAAGTGTAGACAGAAAGTATGTATACGCCAAAGAGGACTTTAAATGATCTATATCATAGTATATAAATAAGACAAGTTAAGATCAGATGTCTCCCTTTCAAGACCTTTTCCCACTATGGTGCTATGTGTTGGTTTACTATAATGGCATTTGCTGTAAGTTTATAGCTGTCTCCAAAATTCTTTTATCATGATTTACATATACACTTCTTTTTCTTTGCTGTTCTTCTACATCCCTCTTGAAAGGGGAATGAACTTTTGAAAGAGGTATGAATCACTGTTTTTCCCCTGATCCAGTGGTTCCTACAGAAGTCTGAGTGGAATCACCGTTTCAAAAAATAAGCAAGAATAAACTTTGGCAGGCTGCTTAACACTGAGCATGAACTTGTCTTCATCAAAACCCATCTACACTTACTTTATTTTGCTATACAACAAAAGCCCACTCTAGGTTTCCTGACGTACATTAAGAAACTGAGTCAGTCCCTGAGATGTGCTTATTTAGTAGTGCTGAAGTTCATCTGATCAGGTAATGGATAATTTTTTTTATCTCAATTGACAGCCTGCTATAACTGTTCATTAACTAAGGATTTACTGCAGGGATTTTCAACTAGCACAAAGTTCTTCCCATATAGAGGAACCTCCAAGTACCTGGTGTGAAATCCCATGAACGAATGGAGAGGATTCTGTGCTACATATATCTCAGTTCATGTGGGGTGCTAGCCAAGGTCTGTCCACCCAGGCAAACAGAATGTTCCCTCCTACAACTTTATTGTAGTACTGGGAAAGATGGCGAATGGTGAAATTCTTGACAAGCTTCCAAAGAACCCTAGTGCTCCCAGGAATACAGCTTTAAAGGCCATTTGCAGAAATGGTTACTTATCTTCTATGAATCCCCATGTAACGATGTTACTCTTGATGATAAATAGCAATAGCCTGAGTCATTTTGCTGCCTTAAGTGAACAAGATAGTTGCGGTGCGCGCCCTGTGGAACGCCCTCCCATCAGATGTCAAGGAAATAAACAACTGTCTGACTTTTAGAAGACATCTGAAGGCAGCCCTGTTTAGGGAAGTTTTTAATGATTGATGTTTTAACATATTTTTAATATTTTGTTGGAAGCCGCCCAGAGTGGCTGGGGAAACCTAGTCAGATAGGTGGGGTACAAATAATAGATTATTATAATATTATTATTATTATGCCCTTTCCCTTCCATATACAGAAGCCAGTTCTACTGGCACCTGAATCTGGCAATGGTTCAGCATCCTTCACCACATTTGAAGGCAACAAACACTAGCTTAGGGAGCACAAGTTAAGCCATGTGACACACACAGCTCCAACACCCTGTTGTATTTTTCCCACTGCTTCACAGAGCACCTGTTCACTCAAAATAAATTCTGCAATGCAGTGGTGATAACACCAGCGTGCATCATGTGAACAGAGCAAAGCACGCACATGCACAATGCTTGCTGGAGTGCCTTGGCCTGGAGTGGCTGCCTCTTTGCCTACTAACTGTTGAAATAATGAAAGTAGGCCAAACAGGTAGGCAATTCTGGCCAGCAATAAGGAAGCATCATTGCCACCAGGGCAGGAGGGTAGGAACAACCAGGGAGTGTCATGTCCCCAGAGATGGACTCCTTCTTTTCAGAGGATAAGACCATGGCTTCAGAGGAGATATCAGAGGGGAGGGCAATGTGTGTCACCTTGAGCTCCTTGGAAGAAAGATGGGATGTAAATGTAATATAAAATAAAACTTTGTTCGCCAATCATATTTTCTAAGCGCTCACAATTCAGTTATTGCTACTTTATACTTCCAGACTAAGGGGAATTAATATTTCTAACCTGTCAAGTAGAACAAACATAATTTTACTTTCATAATAAACACAATATGAATAGAGAGAAAAGTCTAAACTCTGTAATAAAGTCCCACTTAAAGCCACAGTGTGTGATTTAGTTCTCACACGCTGAATACAATGAGCAGTGGAAGAGGCAATCTGTGCCATTTAGAGTAAGAAATAACTGAAATGTTTTACCTAGGCATTAAGGTTTTTTTTAAAAAATAATAATAATAATATGAAGCGGATAATTTGGTGTCATTACAAAAAGCAAAAAGGCTTCTTTCATTTAGGAAGACCAGACACCTTAGATTTCCTGTATTGTTCAGTAAATACATAGTGCAAATGTTGTACAACTTCTAATGCATTTCTTTTCTCCCCTTCCCCCCCCCCCAATAGCTGAAATATTATCATTTGGATCAAGGGAAACATTAAAGGCTGCTGGAATTTAGTAAACTGGACAAGCCTTAATTGGTTTAATAGGTAAATGTAATCCACTTTTGCAAGCAGGTTCTCTTTCATTTCTCTTACAGTTCTAGTGCTATTTTGTCTTCCCTAGCGTTTCTTCCGGCTGCTTTTAAAGCAATTTGTTCTTTAGATGGGGAAAAATACAGGGCAGTTTGGCATGCCATATCCACATCAGGACAATGTGCAAGCACCTTTTAAGCAGCAGGGAGAGCATGTGTGAGAGTAGCAGATGCTTCCCTCTTTTTACCTATGAAAAGGTAGAGGCTGTATGTGATTGTAAGGATATGCCTCTTGACTCTCTTTTTTATGGTGTTTTGGCACCATTTGAAGACTTGGCTGTTTCTGCTGGTGTTTGACATACTTGGCCGAGACTATATTATCCCCCAAGGTATGTTTTTAGCTATTATGTCACCTCTAATAAATAAAAGAATATGGCTAGCAGGATGTGTGAGTATGGAAGACTCTTGTTTTTCCAAGTGTGTAAATGCAGTGAGATCCCCAGTCAGTCATGGCTAAGCTATCCAGTGTCAGGGGTGTTGTGACATGTTTTGCTCCCATCACAACAATGACACTGACTTTATGGCACTGACTTTATGGCTGCCATTCACTCCTACTGAAAAACGTAAAGGGGTGCTATGGGAGGCATCAATAGTTTGAGAGGTAAAACTGTTCTCTTTTCTTATGTTCTCTCACCTGAGGCAACTGGCGGAGGTGATTTCCCCTCTAATGTATGGCACATCCTATTTGAACAATTAGGATTGCTTTTTCTAATCTTGGAAAAAGAACTGGGACCCATAGGAAGCATGCAGCTACAGCCCTTGAAACTACAGCCCCTCCCAACTGTGGCTAAATGCTCCTTTGATACACTGTGCCTTGTTCCATGTTGTAACGCTGGCTCATGAGAGGCTGCTAGGAAACTGTTTGCATGTATAGTATCATGCCTTGGTGCAGGAGCTGGGCAAATCATGTTCTCTTCACTGAGAGCATGTGTTGCGGTGAGATCACCATAAACTGCCCTTTGGTTGCTGGGGCAGGTATGTTTGAATAGCCACAACTACCCGATTGGTTCCTCTGTTGCTGGGGCAGAATCTGGTCAATGGGATTTCACAAATGGTAGCGGGGGAGCCTCTTTTATACCGCTGCACGTTGCGTTGAGCTTCCTCTTTTTCACACCCACCCACCCTCCCTCCCTATATTTAGGGTATTTCTGACCTTGCTATGTCATTTGGTGTCATCTGTTTTGGAGCAGGGGCATGGTAGGAATTTTGCCATTTGGCGGATTGGCTGTTGCCTCTTGGTTTTTGCCTACCTCGTAGCAAATCGTCACAACTTTGTAAGGTTTGTGGTTAGGCATTGGTTAAAGGTGTTCTTGGAGGGGGTGTGGCTTGGCTGTGGCCTGCCCCTCCAATTGTGGTGGCGTGGGTATTCCGTTAAAGGAATCCAGGGATTCGTCTTGCTTTTGCCTGACCCCTGAAAAGGTGATAGGGCCATGCGAGAGCCCCTGGGAGCATGTTGGGGTGATCTTGGTACTGCTCCCAGACCAATCAATCTCCCAGGGTGTTTACCCTTATTGACCTCTGCGCTGGCAGTTGTCAGTTCTTCTCCTGTCCTGGATATGTTCAGATAGTTTGGAACCAATGCCTAAGCAAACCACTCACAGCCTGTAGTCAATAAAGTTGTGACCAAAATTATGCCAAAAAACCTTAAACTAAAATTTGAGTCCTTTGTGTCTTTATTTGAGGGGGTTTTGGGGGGTCTTAACATGCAATATCACTTCATAGCTCTTTTAGCCCTATAGCTCTATGAATCTGTTCCCAGCTTTGTGTTTCTACATCCTCGTGAGTTGTGCAGTGATGTTGTCAGAAAATGAAGACATTCTACCTCAATAGCCCCCTTTCCCACTGGTCCTCTAGTGCATTCTTTTCCCTGCTGTTGCTTAAAAGGTACAAATTGCAAACCATGTGGAACCCAAAAGCCAGTCAGTCAAGACTTTGAATTCCTTCAAGAATTCCTGTAATATAGTGTATTGGGTGAATAAATCTGATAAACGGAACTACCCAGGCTTAACATCACTTTAGATATACAGTGAAGTCTTAGAAAAATCCACAATTTTATTTTAAAAAAACTGTTAAGTACATACACTGCATGTCACTAAGCTGTTAGCAGTTAAACAGCCTCAGCCGTAATGCTGATGATGTATGCATAATGTAAAAGTTTTATCTAGAGCTCAGAATCCTTCATTATAAAAAAAATGCCTGGCTGGACCTTTTACAAGATTTGTTAATTGCAAACACTTTGGGTGCATTGATCCATAACCACTCTGATGAAATAATTATTCAGAACAGTACCTATGAGGACTGACAGCAGACTGGCTTGAAGAACCACACAAGATCTACATTTAAATGAGGGCTGTTGCCAAGCTCCCAGAACACTGCTCTTTGCTTGCATTTTCTTTCAATAACTACAGTTCCAACTATTTAATTTTCTCTAGAATGACTAACATTTAAAGTGGATTAGTTGCTTTTGCTGAAACTGTCTTGAATCCATGGACAGTTCACACACACACACACACACACACACACACACAACACACACACTGAGAGAGACAGAGAGAGAGAGGGAGGGAGAGGGAGAGAGAGAGATATTTATGGCTGTACACTTATTTATTTGCCCTTCTGTAGATGAAAGCAGTTATGCAAACATCAAAGGAATTGTTTGCTTTGTTGATGGAATGGTGTGGGTTATGCTGGCAAGTAATGAGGTACATGTTTGGGCACCTTACATTTCCTTTCAATGCAGTTGTTCAACCAGTGGGGATAGTGAAGTGCTTGGCTATTAAAGTTAACTTACTATCCTGCTCCTTGACTCGTCAGCTCTGTCAGACTTTAACCACTCTTTACTAGAGGTCAGCTCAAAGTCTTGGTTCTAAAACACTCCCTTTATTAATGGTGGAAGGCTCAACAGAGAATTTGCTACAAGATGGTGAATACATATGTTGGCATAATAAAAAAAATTCCTTCCAGTAGCAACTTAGAGACCAACTAAGTTTATTATTGGCATGAGCTTTCGTGTGCATGTACACTTCTTCAGATACTTCTTCAGATATGTTGGCATGTAAGTGTTCAAAGAACTCTGCACTATTGCAGTCAATAACATTAGCAGCTTAGCCAATTGCATACAATTGTGATTTTAAATTGGCCAGATTGTTGTAAGGAAAAATGGGGTGACTGTTCTTCCTCATTCCTGGAACATGGACAATTGGCTAAAATCACCACAGTAATGTTGAGGGTTGGTTGGTTGGTTGGTTACATTCAATAGGTATATTATATGAAATAAATAAAATATTTCATATTTCACATTTAGAGAGAGGAGGACAGTTATAAGAACAGAGGTTAATTACCTCTTGCATACAGGCTAGAACAGATAATAAAAACACAACACAGCACTAAGGTGTGTAGAAGGTGCTGTGCTATTCTTCTCAGAGACAACAAGGATTCTTTACCTAGTGTATTTAGCTGTTGTTTGATCTTTAAGTATAGGTGTACCTGAGAGTTCTAGGGAAATTATAGGAATTTAAGTGTCAGCTCAGTGACATTCGGGCATCTCTACATTTCATATAAGTTTACAACTCCCCTCAAATTTGTAACCTGTACTTGGACAAATCAGGTATCCCCTTGTGCATGCACTCTCCCTCTGATAGAATATATGGAATGGACCCTACTGTCTTTTGACTCCTCAAAACTAGCTTCTTTTAAAAAAAATCAGGACTTCTACATAGAAATAATAGGAAATTGAGGGATAGTTTGTGGAAATGTTCTAAGAAAAGAACAAACTATGGCTGGAGAAGACAATGGATTGGATCCAGACTTAGGCTGCAATCCTAACTTTACCTACTCATCTTGTGTTGCACAATGAGCTTCCATTCTATGTGTATGTTGACTAAAATATATTAACAATGACTTCAACTTAGTTTTTTAATGACAAAAGCAATCCATTAAATAAATTAAATCTTGGAATCCAGAAAATCCGTGCTAGGCCCCTTTAATAGTAAGGAAAAAGAATACTGTTATTAAGACTTTTTCAGGATTTACATAACCATTCTTATTGGTGCATGTGGCTGCCCATTTGCAGGATAGATTCACACTTTAGGGAATGCGGCGGCCTAGACATAAAATTATGGTAATGATACGCAAGTAACAGTAGGTACTGCACCAGGTAGGAATTCTGATCTCCTCTGACATTTTGCTTTTTAATCTCCTCACCAGATGTCTACTTTATTATTAGTCCACTAGCTGAGGATCGATTTGCTTGCTCTTGATGCCTGTTTTGTTAGGAATCCTGACAGCCAACCCACCTCCCAGGGCAACACTTCCTGAAGCTGTTTATTTTTAAGTCAGAATAATTTCCATGTCTGTGTGGCTGTAGACATTTTTTTTTTTTTAAATCAACTGTTTTAAATGAAAACATAGTATCTATGTGGATTCCTAATCAACAAGCTACTAGCCACTTCTCTGGTTCCTGGGAGAGAAAATCATTAGGTGATGATTTCATCATATTAATGTTCTTTGCACTGTGTGCCCTCTGCAGCCAGCATAGGCTTATGTTGTTCTTCCTTACATGATTGTAACATAGACACACCTGCAAGCAAACACAGGGGTCAGGATCCACCTACCTTTGTACAGCACAATTATTATGGATATTTTGGGGCCTCAAAAGCAACTAAACCACTTAAAGGACACTTTCTGCGTCATCTTTCAAAGTCAGAGCAGGCCTACCCTTTCAGCACAACCACAAATCTCTGAAGATATATGCAAAAGCATTATCAGAATTGCCACTAATACATTTGTCTCTGAGACAGTGTCCATGCATAGCAGAACATACCTAGACATGAAGTGTGCAGAGACAGAGGGTTGTTCCATGTGTTTTCAGAAATAATAATATTGTTTTATTATTTGTACCCCACCCATCTGACTGGGTTGCCCCAGAAGTGAGTGATGTGTTGTAGATCACCCCTCTCTTTGAAACGTTTTACGGAAGAGAGTTGTGATTTCAGAAGCTGGAAACCACAAGCTGCAGCCCCCTTCTGCCTTATTTTAATGTGCCTTGATTTGAATACAACCATGTCCCTACTGTTTGCATGTCCTGTCTTTGGGTACAGCGTCAGAATCGTGCTTGCTTAGGAGCTGCTCTTCAAAGTGCCCTGCCAGCAGAAGCTTCATTCATTTCAATTTAGAAGGAACAGCATGGTAGAGAGATTCTTTGTTCTTTCCATGGAGTTCTTTCCATTGCAGCTCACGAGGGAGCTGCGTTTTCTCCTCATTTGCACACACTCATTGCCTTTCTGTCAGGTTTTCAGAAAATTGCAGGGAGGATCCATTGGGACACCTCTAAATGCTGCCATCCCCACAGTGCCCGAGAACACCTCATTTTCCTTTTGAAGTCTGTCTCTGTTTTCACATTTCAGAGTAATTCGCTGTATGACAACATTCTACTTTAATGAAGCCCTGGTGGTAGGAGACATGATAACATTCAGCAGGGAACATACAAATAAAAGCATAGAGGACGCACATAATATAAAATCAAAATCAGCTGGGCATGCAAAAAAGCTAATGGAGGAGAAAAACGGTTTTTGTAAGCATATGCTGACTTGCAACTGCCTCTTTTCATCTTGCTGGAGCCAAGTCGAATTAGATTTATGTCAGTTCAGCAAAGATCCCTTCTGGACAGTAAATTGGGGAGGTGGGAAATACACACGTGTGTTGATTCGCATCTTAGTTGGCCACTTACGTGTTGGATTCTTAAGACCTATTACCAATTACACAGCTTCTGATCTAGAATATACATCTGCCTCCTTTCTAGTTAAGTATGATATCTTTATTCAGACTGTTCCAGGTTCTGAGTGATATTTCAACTAAATCACAAAGCAGGAAATTACTTAAGAATTACAATAATTCAGCATCCATAACCACATAGATCCTGAGACAATTACTAATGAGTCTAAGGAAAGAGAATAAGCATATGTAAAAGGGTGAGACTTTCAGGTTCCTTTAATTACCACATATATTATTAGAAAGAAATGAATCTTTGTATATCTATATGTAATGCTGCATCACAAAAAAGGGCATTTATCTTCACTGCATTCTTACTGAGGAATGCACCTGCATTTGGGGGGGGTGTTCAGATAGTTACATATAACATTTGCTTCCAAGTTCTGTTTGCAGTCCTGCACATATTAACAAATAGCTTGGAAGCTGAGCTTTGAACAGCTAATCCTCTGTGATTCCAGTACTTAAATTAAGCCAGCAATGGACAGACAACCTGTGACATTCCAGATACTGTTGGACTCATCCGAGCCCCATCCAGCATGGCCAATAGTTAGAAGTTGCCCACCCCTGCTTTAACCTTTGCTATTTTATCTAGAAGTCCTCTTCCCTAATCCCAGATCCGTAGGAAGTTGGGAGCTGGCTGTCCTAAGGGAATGGTGCTGTGTGTGCTTCAATACATGCTTTCCTGCTAGAGTGCAGGCATATAGACCAATGCTTGGATCCAAGGCCATCTACTGAGGTCTAGCTGTGTAAATCAAGCCCATCCTTCTGGATGGAAATGCACCTAATAGGATTGGTAAACTCTGCTATAGTCCAGTATATCCCTATAAAATTAGTGTCACAGTGTTTAAGGAAATGTTGGGGACTCCAACAGGGTTGCTGGTTGCAGTCTCAAGACAGATGGTTTACTTTATATTCCCTGATGAAGTGGGGAGCTCAACTGATTCAGATTTGTCCATTCCTCTTTCATTTGTCCTTTCCTGAAGCCCATTGTTATTTCGAGCTGAGCAGAGAATAACCAAAAGGCCTGGGACAAATGGCCTTGGCAAGCAAGCAGTTGTATTTGGTGCCTTTTAAATTTGGTGCCTGTGAAAGAACAAAGCTTTGATGAAATGGACTGACTGTATGGGCCTCGTTTTTAGATGGACTATTATTGTGTATGATGTGGAAATGCAAATATTTCTTGCCTGTTCATTTGAGGATTATAGGGCTAACTTGCCTTACCTAATTTAACCTGAGACTCAGATGAGAAAACAGTAGAACTTCATTGTGTGAGGGATTGCGGGCACATTTATTGTCTGAGGGGCTCCACGACTTATTGTTGCCCACTGGTGAAACTTATGATTGGCAGGAGGCAGGTGGGCAAATGCTCTATTAACAGGTAGCCAGGGTTAGTTAGTTAGTTAGTTAGTTAGTTACAGGATTAGTTCTCAAGAGACAAAAAAAGGCTTATGTAGGCTCAGAGATAGTGGAGCAAATTATATGTACCAGGATTGGAGGACAAGATTCTACTCTAGGATATGCAATTATAAAGATGGAGAAATAATCATGCTTAACTCTTGTGTGTTCTTTTTTCCCGTTGGGAAATACTTTCTGTCCCTTTAACACAATTTTTTCATAAGCCGGTTATCTTTTCTTATTTTAATACCTCCATGCGTAGAAACCATAAACTACACCACCTTGAGAGGCCTAAGGGAAGTTTCTAGGTTGATTTAAAAGGGGCAAGAGTGGGCTAACCAGAGAGGTGTACTACCTTTCCTCAGATGGCAGGGGCCCCAGAATGGCTGTGAGGTGGCTGTCACAGTGCCAAATGCAAGTTCTGCTGGGATTGGTTCCACTAGGCAGCTCCCAGTTGGAGCTCCTTTATGTGTGTGTGTGTGTGTGTGTGTGTGTGTGAGAGAGAGAGAGAGAGAGAGAGAGAGAGAGAGAGAGTGTCAAGTTCCCAGAGTGGAGATGCTGTTAGATCCATCCCTTACTCTAGATCAGGCTTAGGCAAACTCGGCCCTCCAGATGTTTTGGGACTACAACTCCCATCATCCCTAGCTAACAGGACCAGTAGTCAGGGATGATGGGAATTGTAGTCTCAAAACACCTGGAGGGCCAAGTTTGCCTATGGCTGCTCTCCATCATAGGTCTTCAACTAGTGGGTCATGGCCTGATCTATGGTGGGTCACAACTGCAGTGCTACAACCAAACCAATATATTGCTAAAAACCTTAGTGAGTCCTCAAATGCATGCTTGGGCTGAAAGTTGGTCCTGGGTCTCAGAAGGCTGAATATTGCTGCTCTAGATGCCACCTGTGGCACAAAGTGCCTTTTCCCAGCTTACGGTAGTACATCAGCTATGATCACTTTTGAAAAAAGAAAACCTGACCACTGTTATCCGCATCCTGTTCAAATCCAGATTAAACTACTACAGTGCATTCATGCCCTGAGCTGCCTTTGAAATTGGCTCAGAATATGGTAGCTGGATGGTTGGCAGGTGCTGGTAGCCAGTTAGAAACCACACCACCAGTTTTAAAAGAGCTGCGCTGGCTTCCTATCTGAGCACAGCTCAGAATTTTCCTTTTAACCTGAAAAGCCCTATATAGCTTGGAACCCAGATTTCTAAAGGCCCATATGCTCATCTTTGAACAACATTCTCCAGTGCTCCCCCCCCCCCTGCTTTGTTTGAGGTGACAACTAGGGTGGTGACTTGAATAAAAGGCCTTTTTAGTGGTAGCAACTCAGCTCTACAATGCCCTTTCCAAGGTTTCTATCCAAACACCTAGCTTCATCAATCTGAGGCACCAGGTTAAATTTAAAATAGTATGCAAATGTGGATTTTCATGCCAGTTGTTTTTAATGCACATTAATGCGGAAATGTAATGGAAGAGATTTATGAATGAACACAGGAGAAAGTGATACAGATTGGAAATAAGATGATTCATCCCTTCCAGCTTGATCCAGTTTTCATGCTAATTTATTTAGATTTATATGTTAAGCATTGTGGTCATGAAATAGAATTACTTTGAAATTAAGTATGTCAATCCTCACATTAAAAAACCAACATCGTGTCTTTTCTATCTCACAGTTTTCCATCTTTCATTTGTTTTCCTTTCTTGGCAAGTTGATTCAGTCTTTGCCTATTATTTTTTCCTGTGGTTTTTAAAATGATGCATGCACACCACATACACATCTTAAAGGATAGGCAGATGACATGGATCTTCTCAATATGCGATGGGCTACAAGCCAATGCAGCTAACCCACGAGTAAAGCATTATAATGCCATATGCATGATTACACATATTATACTAAGTAAACAGCTCAGATTAAAATAAATGATTTGGCTCTGTACAAGTACAGTTGATAATTTCATATTTGCTTACCTTTTCGCTAAGTAAATAAATAAGAAGCACATCACAAGGAGACTTACTTCATTTCCCATGGGTAGGTAATGAAAGAAACAAATTATGAAAACATCTAATTTTTAAAGGAATTAAAATAAAAACAATAACCAGCTGGGATCTAATTAATTTCATGTGTCAAACATATTTCAGTAGAGCTGCATGAGTTTCATCCTGCAGTTTTATTCTTATGAGCAGCCACAGAATTCATCATTAGTTACATTGAATGAAAAAGAGCAGTGTGGTTTTCTTCACTAAGCCATACATGCAGAAAGGTCCCACTGAAATTCAGAAGTCTAGCTGAGAGGGCAGAAATGAGGGCAGAGAGAGTTTTGTGTGTTTCTCCTTCCTTTTCTGTTTTGTGTTTCCAGTGGAAGGGAAATAAACTGCAACAATTCCTGGGCTGGGTTAGCATAGGTTTCTCCCTGGATTGAGAAGGCTTCGGATCCAAGTCCTCCTCCTTATCAATCCCAGCAGGCCCCCCAATCTACCCCCAGCACCAGACCCTCCAAATTTCCCTATTTTCCAGGGGTGTCCAATTTAGAGAAGCTGTCCTGGTTTCTGATTTGATCCCAGAATGTCCCACTTTTCCTTAGGATGTCCCTATTTTCATTGGAGAAATGTTGGAGGGTATGGCATTATCCAACCCGAGCCGTCTGAAGGCAATCCTGTATCGGGAAGTTTTTTAAATGTTTAACATTATGTTTTTATATGTGTTGGAAGGTGCCCAGAGTGGCTGGGGCAACCCAGTGAGATATGGGGGGGGGGTTATAAATAGTAAAAAGGGATTGTGGAATGGGATGTCCCTATTTCCATTGGAGACATGTTGGAGGGTATGGAGCACGTCCCTTTTCCAGGCCTACCAACTCTGCTACTCTGATGTCATTGGGGCCGCAAAGGTTTCTGAGGTTGTATGGGGGAAATCTGACATGAGTTCCCATTTGGAGAGAGAGATCTGATGCTTCCTATGGAAGTTCATTACTTTCCTAACCAGTGGTGAAAACAAGAAACTAAAAAAATAGGATGTGATACAGAGAAGCTAATATTGTCAACATTATTATCTCCATAGTCAGCCTGTGCTTACTTTCAACCAGTTCAGACTGTGCCTAGCCATTGTAAGCACCACACTCTTAGGATAATTTTTTCACTGCTTATTCCCAAACAAAGACCATGTCCATTTGCCCTCAATGCAAACTTCACCCATTTCAGGCTAAGCTGGGTGAATTGGCTTTGATTCACAATGAAGAATACTGATTTGCCACAACATCACCTGGCAAGCTACTTGGAAGGCTACAAACAGAACAAAGAATCTCAACCCGTATTTTTCCACTAAATTAGTTGTTTCTGTTCTCCTTAATGTACAGGCAGATTGTTTTCATGGTCATTAGGATTACTTCAACTCTCCAAGGAAATCACTCTTATTGTATAGATTGCTGCAGAGTATTCATGTTAAACTTTCGTTTCTTTTAAAGAAGCAGCCATTTCCCTGAGAAGCCCTACTTATGTGTAAAGCTTAAACTATTTTTTCAGTGAAATGTGACATTTACCACTACCTTAATCTCGGAAAGATTGGGAGGGGAGTTGGGTGGCTTCTCTTGGCCTTGCTTTTCTGTCTATGCATTGATCCAACGTTGTATGCAAGTGGGAGAGACTTGCGCCATACGACGTGGGAATGTGAATTTTGCAGCATCCATGATCACATGTACAGAAACTACATATGATGGTCAGATAAATGTGATAACTGACAGCAGTGAAAGGCACTGGGTTTTGTTATGGCATTATGACATTCTTCCTGTAATGTTAGATGAACTGCAACAGCCCATGGACACATGCAAGTAATTGCATAATGTTGCAATCATTGAGCGTCACATTTGCCTACTTCCCATTGGCACCAGTTGTATCTGTATACTCGTAACTTCCTTATGGTTTGAATTTTTGTACACCCACAAGCTTTGCCCCAATCTTATGAGGTGCATCTTATTTTTCCTCCCCATGTTGAGGCAAATGGGGCCCTGCTTTGAATGAGAAAAAAGTGGTATTACAAAGCTCAAGAGTACAGTTGATTTGAAAAGGCAGCAGAGAATGAAGGGAGAGAGGGTGGTTGGAATATGTGTGGGATCTGCATTGGCATAAGAATAAAAGGGGTCACTAGTGGAAGGAAAGATGGAGAATAAATTCAGTTCTCCTAGCATTTAAAGGTGACCCTGCAACATTTGCATTTTCCAAAATGGCAAACTGAAGCACAGACTTCCTTCAACGTTTTCGCAATTCTGCAATGTTCTTGCTGCAGCTATCCTGTTTTTGCAGTGAAAATGACTGCTAAAACAAAACAAAAAACCCCAAACACTGCTTTCTTTATCCATTGCCAAAATTACAGGAGTCCTGACAGAATAAAAGGTAACAATTAATTGGCAACAACAACAGCAACAAATAAAAAACCTCGTATTTTCTCACTATAACAAATTTTGCAACTTGTCAGTGAGAACTTCTAGCATCACTACACTACCATGCTAGAGAAAGCTACACAGAATTGCACCCTGTTGTGCAGCTGTTGAAAGCAGAAGCACCATGCCAGAAAGGGAGAAACATCTGGCAAAACATTACAGGTGGTGTACAATAGAGAAGTATAATCTTCCTGCCCAGTATGCTAAAATAGTTTGCATCAGTCTCTGATTAGCTTCCAGATTTCTGGGCATCTGAGTAAGCCGAACTGCCAAAACTTTCAAGGTTCTCACAGAATTAATTAACACTTACAGAGAAGCATCTGACATGAACTAGGAAAGTAGGCTATGGCACTGTGCTTCTCTCCGTGCATCTTTGAACGGCAGCCCTCTGTCTTTGTGCTATTTTATCTCTGAGCTTTGTTCTTTAAAAACCCTGTTTTATGTAAGCTCCACATCAGAATGTGTTTCCTCTGTTCTGCTGCTTTGGCAGGTCCTGCATTCATCTCACAGCTATTACTACGCATCTTGTTGTCTCCAGCTTTATTTGCAGCACCAGGTGTAAATAAGTGACAGGAGGATCACAGGTGGTTATCAGGACAGGCACTGTGCTTCTAGAAAGCTGGCCATTAAAACACCCAGAACATTGTGTATGATAACACTGGGGAACCACTTTGACATGAAATGTTTGTATCTAGAAAAATGTAGTTTCCCCAGCATTGAAGAATAACAGCCTTTTTCTTCTTCCGTCTACAGGCAGTGGGGGATGGGGACGGGGACAGAGAACATCAGTGTAAATACGCACATTTATTTTCATAAAAGAGCTACTTGCTTGGTTTTATGAAATGTTAGCAGTGAATATTAGGAAACCTGTTTCTAAAGTGCGTTCCCAGCTTCCCAACTGACTTTAAATGGAATTTCTACTAGTACTAACAGGGGAGAAATATCGGAATGCAATCACATGTGCATGCACACACCCACCCACCACTGTGAGCATAACTCCCCATTTTCCTTTCCCCTCGCCTCAGACTCCTTTCCCAAATCACAGATTCCTAAGGGAAGACATTATTCCACAATTTCAAATGCAAGTCCAATGGATGCCGCTGTAGTTGATGTTCTGTCGAGTATGTGATGCAAGAGTACCATGTATCTATAAAATCACCCCAATCTCTCTTTCCAGCTAAGGCTTTAATTTTCTTGGTCATTTATATTTTTTTTCTGAAGGTAATCCAAACTTTCATTTCCATTGTGACATTTGCAAGTGTTCTAATTTTGGGTTGTCAAACTGCTACTTAAAGAAAAGCAATCAATTATTTGTATCTCAGCTTGACATTTTCATTTTTAAAGATTGTTACCAGTACTAAAGGTGGGGTGCAAATAACATTTGTTTTGTGATCAAACTTATTTCACCAACAGCATTTTTCCAAAATGGCTGTAATTTGCTGCAGGCCCATGGCATATGTCTATGTTCCAATCTCTTTACACCCTCTCCAGCAAAGAGCAGAAATAGCTTCATTAATATGACTGCACCTCAAAGGTGTTAAATGCCACCTGTGTAGCAGCTTAAGAGTATTCTGTTTTATGAGCCTGGGCACTGAATTTAGGGGCTTTTTGCCCCACAGGCTCTGCCAATCTACCTCCTCAATTACTGTATCTAGATCAGATTCCCAAGTATGTTTCATCAAATTTGTTTGTCCTAATCGTATGTCACTAATGATTTTATAAATTATTGATTATGTATGTTTAGATTCTGTGTTAGTACTTAAAGTTAGATTTTCAAATGGTGTTAGAGTTCTGGATGCATGCACGATAACTGTTGGATATGCTAGAAAGTGCACCAGCCTTGGGCTTACAGGCTCCCTCTTCCACTTTCCCTTTCCTTTCGCATACCAATATTTCTACACTTCCTGACAATCCATAATTTGCTCTCTCGTTGAAACTTGAGAGGGGGGAGTTTGAACAAACCAGAGTTTGCCCATGAGAACCAGGAAGTACAAAAATTGTTGTGCATGGGGGGGATGGGAGAAATTATGGGAGAAAGTGTTTTCAGCAGCCCAGAGTTTTTCCAAAGGGCTTCAACAAGTAAAACTGATGAGAAATGGGAAGTACTTTTTCATTATCAGCAGTTCAGCTTTTGGGAGGAAAGAATACCTCATGTCCTCAGATAATTCATTAATTAAGGTATTTTGCTCCTACGTGAAAGCCAACCAAGGAAGAGGAAGAATATAATAAATAAAATATAAGGTTGCATATGTTTCTGATAATAAAGAATAGAATGATGAATAATACATAGCCTTTTTGGTAATAAAAACAGCATTCTTGTTAAAATTGCATTTCCCTTCACTATAATTTGCCAATTTTACATGTTTATGTCTTTGGTTAAGAAAAAAAAACCTTTGCAGAACTTTGAGATCATGTAAGAACAGCAAGTCTTCATTTCTTATTCAATAGATTTTGTAGAGCCCAGTTTATTTGCTGGTGACTTCAGATTCAGTGTGAAAGTTACCATGATCTAGTGAATAGAGCTGACCTAACCAATATAAGAGCCACCATAACCTGAATGTAGTCCACCAACCATATATAGTGGCCAACCAAGATGCCTGGACTTCCCCCACCAATTGTTTTTGTAGTCCCAGGCAGGTCACAGGTAGCAAAACACAGTTGTTTATTGTACCATGTAAAGAAATTGGGTTTTTGGCTGCTGAGCATGTTTCACAAATGAAGTCTATGTTCTCTTGCTTTCTGATATGATCTTCAGTTGTATTGGTTCATGCAATTGATTTTGCCTTTGCCTTTGATACACTGTCCTTCTGTTGGTCATCCCTGTCGTTTGTCATGCTCTTTTTTCTTCTCACAGTTTTAAACTCTAAGGTCCTTGCAGCAAAAAAAGAACCTGTCTTGTCACTTAGCTTTATAAAGCACAGTGACATTCATGTGACTATATCAGAGATAGTTGGAGGGGCTGTATCAAAATATGCAGTGAATAGGGATTCTCTGCTGTGGATTATTCTGTAAAGCATGTCCTATGCTACTAGAGAAAAACCTTCTTTTGTATCTGAAGAAAAGTTATTTAAATTTTAGAATGAGTTTATGACAAGAATGATAAAATGGCTTCAATCTGTGAATTCAAACACTGAAGATAATGCAAAGCTGGAACATTCTTTGTGTCAGGAAGCACTGTCTAATTTTTCCCCCTGCTAATAAATACTGGCTTCTGCTGGGCACTAATCTCTTGGCAGAAATTTATGAGAAAAAAATTAGATGTTTCCCAATAAAAATTTATAATGGAAGCAAGCAGTGTATGCTTTCATCCAGGTAAGATGAAGAAGCAGAGACACCCTTAAGAGGTTGCAAAGTCTTATTTGCCATCAAATTGGAGAACATGACAGCTTCCATTAAAAGAAAGATTTCCTAGTGCCATGACAATAGCTTTAAACTAAACCAAACAAGGGATATAAATTATTCTCAGGGTCTTGTTCTAATAGCAATGCTAGATGGCTTTCTTTTTTCCTATTGCTGTTTGATTGATGTTCTTTCTCAGAAGACCTAAAAGGTGACAACCAAAAAATTCCCACACATCTTGTGAGATGGATTTTTGTCTGGATTGTAAACCATAAATTGTCCCCCACTTAGGCAATATTCAAGTATAATAATAAATCTTGTCTTGCTGCCTTGAATTTTCTTGATAAACCCTTCGACCTGCTACTCCTTGTCTCTTTGAAATCTAAACGTCTTTGAATCAAAGTTTATTCTTCAAGAAACAGAAGAACAATAATCATCTTCTGTTAGGACATGTGTAGCATGTTCTCACTAATTTAATTATTGTCATTTTCTTAACAGCTTGCACAGACAAGGAGCTGAGGACCCTTGCATCCCGCCTAAAAGACTGGTTTGGTGCTCTTCATGAAGATGCAAATCGTGTCATCAAGCCAACCAGCTCGGATTCAGCACAAGGCAGTAAGATGACAATCTAAAAATAAAGTTTGAGATAAGTTCACAAGTTCAGCAAGTCAACAATAACTGTAATGACAGCTAATGTGGAAACTTTCATTTAATTATGCTGTGGTACATTCTCCTGCTATTTCAAACCACTCATTATTTTGTTTTATTTTCCTTTATTTTTTGCATATAGAAACAGGGTTGGAAATTTAATCACCATTTGCAGTCTGTTGAGTCGGGAAACTGTGAGGCAGCTAATGTACCATCTAGGGAAGAACTGTACCCTGCAATGCATTAAACAAATAGGATAACACTTTGTTTACCCCATTTTTCCTAACCCCGGTTCAATTAGACTCGCAGGGGTCGGCAAGGCTTACCAGGCATGGGCCGAATCACTCCCATGGAGATCATCCGTGGGCCGGGCCAGCGCAGCACAATGCAACACCAGAAATCACTTCTGCACATGCCCAGATGCCAAAAATTGCACCTGTGCAGAAGTGATTTTCAGCGTCTGGGCATGCGTAGAAGTGATTTCCGGTGCCACAGACATGCGCAGACGCGGTTTCTGGTGTCTGGGCATGTGCAGAAGCAATTTGCACATTGCACAATTTGCACAGCCGCGGAAGAGAGTCCCCGCGCTGTGCTGCGCTGGTTTGGTGCAGCACACGGGGACTCGCCAAGCAGGCAGCTCAGTTCGGGGGCGGCTTGTGGGCTGCTTCCGGCCCATGGGCCTTAGGTTGCTGACCTCTGGGGTAGAGCAACGGCTGTGACTCCTGCTGGATATCAGACAAAGGCTTAATGGCCTGTTTCCTACAGTGGCCAGCCAAAGGCATATGGGGAACACACAAGCAGGACTGGGGGAGTAAGGGGGACAGCCCTTGCCTGTTATTGTCCACCAATAAGTAGTAGCTTGCTAGCTTGATACCCACCCTTCAACAGGTCTTAACAATTTAAAATTCAGAAATTAAAACAGTTAAAAGAATATACAGCCGCAAGAACAGGGTGGGTCCTGAAAACATTCCTCTCTCGTGTAAAAGGCTATGATAAAGTTCTGGGTCTTCTATGTTCACAGAAAGCTGTTTAGGGAAGGTGTGAGACATATCACTGCAGGGAGTGAATTCCACAGCTTGCAGAACCATCAAGACTTGTAGACATTAATAGCCTCCCCCCCACCATGAATTTGTCTAATAATCCCTCTTTTAAAGACATCTCAACTGGTGAGTGCTGTGATTAAAAAACGTGTTGGTTCTGTGGAGGAAGGGCACATAAGGCGGGCCCAGTACAGTCTCTTGCCTGAGGGCCCACAGAATCTTGCATCCAACAGGCGCTGTGTCAAGGCTTTGTGCAAGAGGAACAGGCCCTCTACTGCCCTGCTGACTTTCCAGTGACTGACAGCATGCAGTAGGCAGGGAGCAAGGGGCTTTCTGTCAGTCCTGTTACTCCTTCCCTCTAGTGAGGGGCGGCAGAGTTTGCTGAAACTAAGTGAAATGTCAGCAGCCTCCCACCTGCTCTCAACAGAATTTGTCAAACTTGGGCAATTTTTCAATCTGTAGGTTAAAAATTCACAGCAGGCTTTGTGTGCTACAAATATTCCCACGGCAGGCACTAGATTGGAAACATAATTTTAACAGAATGCTTTTTTATCCATTTATTATTAAGCATGCAACCGCCTGTCTCTGAGCAAGAAACTGCAAGACCTTTTCTGTGTGAAAGTGCCTTTTTTCTTGGGTTAATGAGTATTTAGGGAGGGAGGGTGCAGATTGTAGGCAGGCCTAAGTGTTACCATGGAACAGCAATCCTGAGTAGAAGCTATTGGTGTGTAACTATATCTGGCTTTCCCTACCATTTATTTTAATTATTTAAAAGGACAAACTGCATTTGTAATCCTTCATGAAAACCAAGAGGACACTAAAGATGTTCTTTTGGATGGCCCAAGCCCCTTGAATAGTACACCTCTACAGTAATCCCACCCAGAAGCCTAGTAAATACTAAGTGCAGACTCCATGTTTGTGGACGGTACCGCGTCAAACTGCTTGTGGCAGAATAACAGAACTGAATGATCCTTAATATAAAACTTCCTGCTCACAAAAAAACTAGATATTGAAAGCACAATTGTGGATCAATCTTTTCCTTGGTCTACCAATTTGTATATGCAGAGGGCCCACCCCCAGGGATAAATTCAGCTGTATGATTTCTTTGTCTGCAGTCTGAACTTGAGCAGAATGGACTTCCCACCCCAGTGCTGTTTGTGCGAACCAGGCATAAGTTTCCAATGCTCATGAATCTCCAGCCTTTCACCATTCTGCTTGCATTTTCCTCCACCGACATGTGATCACTTCATTGACATGAGCTGTCAGGTTATGCTTATGGAGCCATAAGAAGCACATGCTTTTTTTACTGCAATCTATTTTGAGTATTCCTCTGTGGTTTTAAAGCAACTTCCAAATGATTGGAAATGATGGCTAAGATTTCTCTGGATACACCGCATTTGGAGAAGGTGTTCCACTGATTTTTTTTCCCTGTGCTGCAGTTTGATAGGATGCTGCTGTAAGTTAACGAAAACCGAGTGGATCAAGTTCATCTGCAGGCAAAAAGTAAAGATTATATTCTTCCTATTCATTCGTGAAATGGAAGTATTGGCACAGTTTTAAGTTTTAACTACTGTAATCTCATTCGCTGTCCACTTTAGGCAAAGCTCTTTTCTTTCTTATTTCCAAGCAACAGAAACAAAGTTCTTCAGAGCACCAGTGGTGTTGTTGTTGTTTTTGCAGTTAGTACTTTTTCTAAAGTGAGGTGTTGTTTTTTAAATGTCACTGGAAACTAGTTATTCTGTGCAGTGGAAGCCTATGCATGTTTTCTTGAAAGTAATTCCCACACTGTGTTCAGTGGGCTTAATGCCCTAAAAAGTGTGGTTAGGATCAAAGATGCAGCTAATTTAGCTTCAACAGCCCAATCTTAGAAATTAGAAATCAATTAAGTCTTAGGGATGGAGCCCACAGATCCACCTACATGTATACAAGATAAAGCATTCACAGGGCATATAAGCAAGTGTTGAGTACTGCATAGCTTTCTTTGAAAAATTCCAGATTTGCCTTTTTGTCTCCCTTTTGGTTTGTTCATTCCACTAGTCCAGCACAAACACAAGGCCCCAATATATATAAATTGATATTTTATTTTACCTGCAAACAATAATGCAGCATATACAATTGTTACAGTAAGGCATAGAGAATGCAAGTGTTCTCATCCATAGTTTTATTCTACTAAATAGTTGTTTCCATATATGTTATAACATCCATATATATCCCATTCATTTAAGAGATCCCATTATTTGCAAATTTTCAAGATTAGATCTGTAGTTATTCTAGTTCAGATGTGTACAATCAGTACACGGGTTCAGCTAAGCTGGTGTGTCGTCAGAAGCACCACTGAACTATGGTCTGTACCCACAAATTTTTGTGTATCTTTTTCTATATTGAATCTGGCTATTCCAAAACTATTTATTTTCATTTTTTGTATTTTCATTAAGTCTGCTTCTGTCTAAACGGTGCATTGTGCCCAGTGTTTCAGTGTACAATTTTCTGTTTATTTTTTACATGTGAAATGTGTAGGTGAAAAGGTTTTGAGACAATAAGAAGCCTTTTACAAATAGGTCACTTATTTGAATCTGTTCCAGAATCTGAAGTGATTGGAAGCTGGTGTCTCTTGTTACCAGCTGTCCAAGACAATGTTACATGTAATGACTTTAGCCCACTTTTGGTTGAGCAGGTGTTTTGAGTCCAAAGAATCCCCTTCTCAACAGGCACTAATTAATAACCTTTCTAGAATTGCCTGCAAATATATCGAGATACTTGAATGACCTAAAAAGCTAGCGAGACTTCTGATCTTTGGCCTTATTATTTGAGGCTGTGGGATGAAGAGAAAAAGTGAAAAAGACAAAGCTTTCTCGATGCAGGCCTGTTTGAGCTGTAGCATTGAATAGGTTTCTTGCTTACTTCCAGCCAGCATTGTAGGAGAGGAGTAGAGAACAAAGTCGACATCATATTTTGAGTATATTAAGAAGTATATTAAGCTTCCCAACACATATAAAGAAACCTAACATTCAGCACTGTTGTTGTCGTCTTTACCCTACTTTTCTTGCACATCCATCTCCTACACTTCTGAAAACTGGCTGAGCACTGCCATGGAAAGGAAATATATCAATATGTAAAAGGGTTCCTCCTTTTACATATACCCCATTAATGTGTATGTGACTGTATACATTTTGACAGCCTTTATCTTGTTTATCAAATCATGTTTTTTTGTCATGAGCAAACCTTTTTATGATCATTACACCAGTGATGTCAGAGGGATCTGTGTTAACAGTAGCATACCCTTTAAAAGATATTCTTCACTGAGTATCCTACAGCACTATGATTTAGATTTAAATAGATATTCCATTCCCTGCAAAAGAGGAGCAACTAACAATAGGCGGGTGCTCAACTTTCTCATTGAAATCAATGGGGAGCTTGGCTGAGTTATGTCCAATGTTTCTTTTGACCACTGTATTATACTGAAAATGTAAAGCTACAGGCGTAAAATTCAGAATTACAGTTAATTCATTATGTACATATCAGTGTTTAGGAGCTGGAACAGGATTTGGGCTGGGTTTTTATCCCTCAGATGGAACAATGCAGTGCTGCTTGTGGTAAAAGCAGTCTGAGTAAGAAACCACTGTAGCAAGACTTTTATAGTGTGGTAGTTTTGGTGAGATGTTTTCCATTATCTTAGTTCAGGATAACAATGTCAAGCACAATAGAATTCCTATTATATATATTATTCACACCTTGGAGTTACACATATTCGTTTAAGCATAGGTTGAATGGTCATCTGCCGTGGATGCTTTAGCTGAGATTCCTGCATTGCAGGAGGTTGGATTCTATGATTTTTATTTTTATTTCATTACATTTGTATCCCACTGTTCCTCAAAAGAGCGCAAAGTGGCATACACAATTCTCCTCCCCATTTTATCAAACCTGTGAGGTAGATTAGGCTGAGA